ATTTAAAGATCACCCATCAATCCCCCCCCCCCCGATACACACTTGGCAACACAACTTAACCAACACGGACACACTCTTGACGCCTGCTCCCATTCTCTTATTCCTGTCGCCCCTGTGAAGTCTGGTAGGCGGAACAGGTGTGGAAAAGCACTTGAACGCAGTCGTACCATCTATTTGGTTGGTGGATGGGGGGAGTGGGCAAGTTGAGTAACCGTCTGTTTTTTTCGTCATTGGCCTAGGAAAGGTCTTTAGATTGCTCCTTCTGCTCGCCGGAACAGCTGTTCAGTGTGACAATTGGTTGTTTACAAGCCAGTAATTAAGCAACTGGGGCTTGGTGTGGCAGGCATTGCAAACTCCGACTTTGTTCTATTTTCAGCGTTGGTTGAGACTGGTATTTGTATCAAGCCTTCTGTTCCCCTCTGTACTCTAGGTGTGCTCCACCTCTACATTGGTAAATCCCACGACGATTTTGCCGCGGCTTTTGCCTCGCCGAACTTGGCTGGGGGCGGCGGAGGCTGTGTACCTGCGGCCACCGGTCCACTCCTCCAGTCCGACGCCAAGGTTAGCAGCGGCAGCAGCGGTTCGAGCTCCTTGGGCAACTATGCCAAGCCCGCCGTGAACATGTTCCACAGCCTAACTGCCCGCTCCAACTACTACTGCAACCTCCCTCAGTCCCAGTCGCACTCGGGCTACGTGTCGAATCCTGTCACGGAGATGTGCAACCAGGCGGACCGCGCGGTCGTGCAGGATCTGGAGCAGGCGACGGCTGCCGCCAGGTCCACAAACTCGCCGGCGCCACTCGACGCTGTGACCGGCTTCGAGACCGGCTGCCACCTGAATGGCGAGTCCAACGTCATGCTTCTCATCGGCTGGAAGACTGTCCACGCGATCGCCCATCAAACCGTGGATGAGATGTTCAACTGGGCGGAAGTTTTGGAACGCTGCCTCATTGGTGAGTTTCGTCTGGCGCTGTTAATGGCACAAGTAGAGTCCGTTTTGGAGGTGGGATCTTTAAGCATTTGAAAAAACTTCGGGTTTAAAGTTTCTCCCACACACTTCCACCTTTTTTTTTAATTTTTACATCCGCTGCTATTATATTTTGCAATTTTATGACATACGCGTGGGCGTGCCGTGCGTGTTAACACCAGACTATTGTCGCAACCAAGCGCATGCGAATTTTCACCACAGCTTATTAATTGCGATGTGTTCATTTGTGTCTGACTTGTAGCTGTCCCGCGCTAACCCCCTAGGTGGGCTGCTCGCACATGGACCAATCGTGTGCGTTTTAACGGAGAAGATTGCCAGAACCACAGTGCATTCCGTGTTTTTAGTGTTGGTAAACATGAGTGAGGCTACTCCGTTGCCCCAATTTCCCTCCACTCGATCACGCGGTCCTCCCAACCCCATGCGTCATTGGTGCGCGCGGCTGGTGTTGGAGCCCGTCATCACGAACAGTTGTACCGGTGTGCGTGTGCGTGTGTGTATTCATTCAACATCATGGCAATTGGCGTAGACCTTGCGGAGGTTACTAACACCTTGGCCGAGAACCAAACACGTGACTCGCCGTGAAACGACCTCCTCGCCGTAAATCGTGCGACCACACGCGCACACACACACAATAGTTCTCCCTCACCACCACCGCCGCCACTTCGCATCCATCCCCTCGCGTTTAGCAGCCGCGAGGATGTGTGTATGTTCAAACTGTTATGTGCACACCCGCCGCACGTGGTTTGTGTGTGTGTGCGTGCATGCCGGACGCCCGCGCTCTTGTGATTGGCTGGCGCGGTGCCAGGCCAAGTGCGTGCGTGCGTGCGCGCACACGAACCACGAGCCAAGCGGCTCCATTTTTTTCATCTGCTAATGTCCGCCGATGCCGTGCGCTCACCACGCCACTAAATGAGGTTTTCCCCACGCAAACCGAGCCTGCATGTGAAGGTCACCGACGTGTGTTCGGAGGTGGAGCACAAGTCAGTCCGCCGGCTCTGGCTCGCCCCCCTCTTGCTCCAGTCGATTTCTCCCCTCCCCTTCTCACTTGTGAGCCACGCCGTTTGGAGTCGAACGTATTAGCGCGTTGTCGAAATTTGGAATGCGCTTCATCTAGTCGTCGTCGTAGTAGTAGCTGTTGTTGTTAGTCGCTCAACACGGCGCCAAGCGAGGTGACAAGCGGTGTTTGCCAGTTCTAGTTTTTTTTTGCAGGCGCCTACACATCGTACCACAACACGAGGTTGACAGGCGGTTGTTTATCGCGCGACACATCTTTGGCATCAAACCTGCGTCCTTCAAATCCGTGTTACCACGTTTGTCGCCAGTTTGTTGACGATTGATCGCAACCCGCCCTCTTAGTGCAGCGAGGACCGCGAGACCTCCATCAGCGAGAGAGAGAGAGCCCGAGTCTGTGAAGACTCATCGTTTGTTCATTGGCCAGCCAAACAAAGTCACGTGGACACCTATGTGTGGTTGATGTGACCTCCAGACCCGCTATAGCTGAGAAGACTGTCTCAACTCACTTGTACTTCGTTAGGTCGAGGTATAGGCACGCACAAACACGGACGCATGCTCTGGCCTCTGCGGGAACTGAGTTGGTTGGATGGCTGAACAGACACACTGGTTTTTGGAAAGACGGTGGCATGTCAAGGTGATGTCTAGACACCCGTGTCAACACGATTCACTGCACGACTTGACGCGGAGAAAGTGAATGATGTGGTTGTGCAAAGTGGGCTGAGCACTTTGAATGCGTCCATTTTGTCAACGCTCCACTTTGTCACAACTTCTCTGTGGTTTTAGCAGTCCCTCCCCTTAAACTAATGACAGTGAACTCGCGTGCACCGTTCAACATTGGCTAATTATAATTTAACTGGTAATGGTCCAGATGCTCACGCCGACGTCGTCAGTTGATGTGGTCCCGGTTTGGTTCTACGACCGTCACGCCGCGTGGATGCCTTAGAAGGCGGTGAAGACTTGAGACGACTCAAGCCTCAACTCCGTTGTGTGCTGTTGGGTTGGTGTGTGCGCACAAGGTCGTGTAAATGTTTAGGTCACAGCCAATCACCTGAGTCTGGTGCATGCTCAGACCACTGAGGGTGCTAAGAACTGGCCTATTAGCAGCCAGAGTTGCGTTACTCGGCGTTTTTTGGCAAGAATCGAATATTTCAATAAACTGACCGTTCTGGTGTTTCTTAATACCACTCCCTCTCAGTTCATTTTCGTTTCTGTGACTTAAATCGCCTCGATTAACGGGGTCTCGTGTTTGGTTAGCGTCTGCCAGACGTGTTCCGCCTACGTGGAGACGATTTCTTGGCGCTCCTCTGTTCTTGGATAGAAAATTGCCTCGCATAGTTCACGTCTGAGTCATGCCCAACATCGTCGGGTAACCACGGTCGACGCCTCTGCCTTTCGATCGCCAATTTGCGAGCTCTATGATGTGTTTAGGCTACAGCTTTGATCCATATCCGCCAGTTGCCTGTACAGCACAAGTACTCCTACGTCGTGTCGGATGTAGGAAAAAAAAGCAGCCACTTCACGAAACCAGTAACCCAAAAAAATAGGGGGAAGGAGGTGCTTGCGTGGAGTTTATAATAGTTTGTATAAAAAGATAGGCAACTGAAACTCAGCCGCTGTTGCTCAGTTGGTCGATCGGTCGGTTCTATTTGTGTGAGAAGGTTTGTGTTGCTGTGTGTCAAAATTAGACCTTCTGGACGCGATTATCAGGTTTACGTGTGTACCGTCCGCTCCACTTGCGTGGTTATCACCAGCGTCGATATCACGCCTCCATCACGCAGCATGGACACATACCCAGCTTGTGGGGTGTTGGCTCGGGTCTACCTTCTCACCACAGTGTGGTTTTGGAGGATGCGTTAGATCGACAAACCTATTGCACAATGCCCCTAACAGGTGTTTACGTATAACGAGGCATCGGCGTTTGTTTATCTCATGCAGGTATCAGCGTTGTCACGGTTTGTATCACGCGCTGAGACTCTGGCTTGACCTTGTGTCAGGCCTTCAAGGCCAAACGTGTTGTCTAACCAGACACAGCAAGGCCATTGGTGCGAGTTTGTGGGCCTTCCTCATTGGTCAAATTGACAGACCCCCAGACTGGTGTCGACTCGCCTCAGCCAACAGTGTTTTCCAATGCGCGACGGCCCATGGCGCCGGTTGCACACGAATGCGCCTCGGCCACGTACTCATCGCGCTGTGGTCCTCGCTGCACGTGCCACAAGCACGCACACACACCCTGCCAACTTCGGGGGTTGGGGTGTGCGTGCGGTTGCGTGGGCGGTGCATTTACCAAAACCGCCCACGCGTCTGTGCGATTTCTCACTCTCTCACGTGGCAAAACGCGGTGTTGTTGTCGCACGCCCACATTTGCCTCGCTGTGCATTGTTGCTGCGACTATCTTGTCCGTGCCTGTGTGTGTGTGTTTGTGTGCTTGTTTGTTCATGCCTCGCGCACCACTCAAGAAAGCCTCTGCAACAGCCTTATCCCTTCAGCGAGTGTTTGCGAACGATTACCTCCGTCTTTCTCAGAGCTACAGTCGGTTTTTAAACAGTTAGGAATTCATCGCCGTGTAATCGGAGAAATGGCGTTTTTTCTGGTCATCATCAGCTGCTGGGCATTTTCTCGGCCGAATTTCGATACGAACCAGTCGTCGGGGCAGAATCGGTGAACTTTAAACATGGAAAAAGTGGTAGTCTCAATGCATTCGCGACTGTGGACATGGTTTTCATAGATGTGGTGTTTCTTCTGTCGTGTGCCCTAATCGCAAAGCTCAGAACCGGAGCCAAACTGAAGCTTGTGTTGATGAGTGAATTCCTTTTTTGTTAATTTCAAGGAGAAATCAGCCAAGACAATGGTCTCCTTTATTGAGGGTTCGAGTGTGTGTGTGTGTGTGCTTGGTGTGTTCATATTTCCTAAACAAAACGTTTCACGCGGCATTTTGTGCGAAGACGACTAGCGCTCTTCTCACGGTTGGATTACTTACTGGCGCCATAATCCATTGTAATCACTTGGTGTTTGCTCTGGAGTTCGTTCACCTTAAGCGTTGTTTCTGAAGCCGTGGATGGATTTGTGTGAGTCGAGTTTAAGCGGAGACGAGACGGGGCGTTGGTAGTCCGTTCTGTTGACGGTGCAAGACGAGGCGCTTTGTGTGAAGACGACTAGCACTTTTCACACGGTTGTCTTACTTACTGGCGCCGTAATCCATTGTAAACCACATGAACCCAGCGAAAATGCAATCGAGGGCGTTTCGTGTGGCGAAAAGGTGGATGTGTGTAGTGAGTGTGGTCTGCTTCGTGTGGTTGTGGACATGTAGTGCCTTGGTTGCCACAACATCTGGCCGATTCTGTTCCACGAATCCACTTCACTGTGTGCGCGTTTTGTTAGTGTAAACTAATCGGGCGGATAGCGTAAATATTTACAACTCACGCTTGATGTGGTTTTGTGTACGAACTCCTATTTTCTGGATGGAGTCGGCCATCGACCACTCAGGAACTCCCGAACTGGCACAGTCTTCGTCCACTTAGCTCTCACATTGAAACGCTCGCGAGCGGACTATTCGCGCAAAAAGCGATTTGTTTAAAGGCCTTTCTCACGTCGTTTCAGCCTGCATATTTGGCCTACTTGTAGTCGTGCGTTCGGGGCTGGGATGACACGTGTTGGTGTGGCGATCATGTGGTGTATGTCCCATATTCAACTGTTCAAATTCTCCCTTTCGACATGATCTCTTTCCCTGTGTGTGTGTGTATCACTACACTGGAGTTTTCGCTGTTAGGAGCCCTACATTCTTTGAAATAACTCGCGCGCGTAGGTGGTTGTGTTTGGGTGTTTTTCCTTACAGCCATGTTTGCATCTCGTGAACGGCATCACGTGACCCGCTAGTCTGCTTTCGAAATTTCAACGCGCTGTCTGCCTCTCAAGCCGATAAAAATCAGCCGTGATACCGACTGGTATGTGGGTGATTGGGGTCGTTTGTGTGACACCGTTCATCGTGCCAGTTAACGTCAGAATCGGCCCGTTCGTTTCTTCAGAGCAACTCACCAATTCACGCAGGATGCTGTTGTTTCGTCGTACTTGGGCACCGTTATTGCGGACACGTGTTTAACGCACAGAGAAGATTCCCTTCGGAAAAGTGACGATTTTTAGTGTCCCAAATATTGATTTGTTGGTGTAAATGAATTTTTTTCAGCGAGTCGGGCATTTTAATTTATCACGAGGGAACCTCAACCCACACCGGACTAGCGTGGGTATTTATCCTACTTGTGATAAAATTCACCCAAATCTCGATGTCAACGCATCTATCACTCATGCCGTTTCACACTTCGGGGTTATAGATACACACGAAAACGCAACACACGACGAGTTCGTTGAGTTGTCTGGTTAACGATGGTGAGACCACGTGCCGGGGCCCACAACAAATTTCACTCGCACACTTTTGGCGTTGCACTGGTCCCCTTCATCAGCAACAGGTCGACAATACACAAATTCGCTTGCCAACACCTATTTCACACCTTTCTGCACGGTCTGTTTACGGGCGTGTGGCAGTCCAACGACACCGGCCTCAGCCAGTGTCTCGTTTAATCCAATTCAAGCACCACGCCTTTTTTTTACATTTTCCACCGGAACTGGTTTTTTCTCCCACCTAAACCGTCGCCTCGTCGAATTTGTCCCTGCAAAACCTGTAAACGGAAATTTGCACCGTTCGTTGACGACACGCAGTTGCTTGTGTGCTCTTTTGATGGCAATTTTCTGGCTTTTTAGACTGGAGTATAGGAGAGGATATTATTGCCAGCCTCGTTGTTCAAGTCCCCTCCAATCATCGCCTCGTTCAGGTGTTGGGGCTAGATAACGCGCCGTTTTCCTCGTTGATTTTTCGAATTGTTATTTCGGACGGTGATTCACCCGGTTTGGTCTTGTTTTCCTTGTTGTTCTCGAGTGGTTGGCGTAACATTGCACCACGTATGGAGCACGAACTCGCCGTATGATCACTCACAATTAGTTGGCACACTTGTCGCTGTGGCTAAAAATACTGCAGTTGAGGTGTCGCTTTGATCACGTTTGGGTGGTAACGCAAGATCACGCAACCCAGTGTCGTTGTGGTGATTTGACCTTCGCAGTTAGTTATCGGCACGTGGAAGTGGTGTGCAGCATTCGCCGATGTGTCTCAGTGGTGGTCAGTTTCGCCTTAAGGGACAAACTTCTTGCAACCTGCTGAAAATAGTTTAATTATTTTGCCACATTTCTGTCTCTTTTTGGACGTCCCCTCCCCCTGTTTTTCACCCCCGCTATCATCGCCACGTTCCTATCCTAGTAGGTATTGGTCAGGAATCAGATTTATAAAATGTCCCCGGTATTCCGAACTAAGTGAGGGTTGACGACGGCTCAGTGATCACAGGCAGTCTGATTAAGTCGCCGATGACATAAACTTGAATAGATTTCCACTTCGCGTTCAACGCTACTGCATTTTGCTTGCTTGTATGTATGCTTCATCAATATACGGTTCAGATAACACTTTCTACTGTATCGCCAGCGTTTTCATCTCCAAGTAAAAGATGTCGATTTGTACTGGATTTTTCGGATCGTTCTCCAAGTGACAGATACCATTTCCGAGCAGTGGCTGGCCTAATCAATTATATTATTTGTTGGGGATCTGCCGGTGATCTTTGGCACTACCTCCAGTGGCCTTCTCGAAGGATAAGTTGGCCAGAATCGTTCGTCAAAGTCTAAATGAGGGAGGGGCCTGAACGTTCGAATTGTAAACCCATTCTTCTGGGCCTCCATACCGCCAAGTTCTGTCCATTTAACTTTCTGTTCGTGGACATCATCGACCCGTCTACAGACACTGTCAAAGGTGCCGCTATTTCCGAGATTGGTCTTGTAAAGCGGCAAAGGCAGAAAGGGTACCCGCAATTTCACATACTCCCCGACCCCTCCCCTCCCCACACTCTAAGTGGAGTTTAAGAGAAAACGGGATTCGTGTCGTCTGCTTCGGTAGATTTTTGTCTGACTCATCGGCACTCGTTGGCAGTCTCAGGCGACAGGAGAAAGCCACGGCCAGCACTAGACGACTACTAGAGCTGGTCGTGCAAGTGACACGAGGCCTCTTGTGGTGCGGTTTTCTTCTTTCGGTGGAAAACAATTTCGAAGAAAAAAACACTTCCTGTCGCCGTGCAAGCAAGACGTGTGGAGGCAGTCGATTAACTCAGCAGTGGTTTTTTCGCGCCCCTCGCCTTGAAGCGGCAGTCGCGTTGGCGTTATTTCATTCGGCGTAATTACTTGCCTTGAGGTGTCACTACTTCCTGCCGCCTGCAAATGCTGGCTTGTCCTTATCCACTATCATGTGTGTGTGTGTGTGTGTGTGTGTGAGTTGTAGTCATTTAAATACCGCGTGATAGACCTCCATTTGGAGGTCCAGGTAATTGTGTTTTGCTCTTAAGTCACGATGTCGCCGCACACAACGCATATGGTGCTAGCCTTGGCTCCTGCCACCTCGTCGTTGTGATGTTTTTTTTGTAAATTCCCATTTTATCGAATCACCGGTCAGTCGTTTTTTTTTTCAACGCAGAACTTCGTCTGTACTTTCCGACGGTTGTGAATTCGACCACGTTCCTTATCAGTACACATGCAACCGTTTCAGCTAACTACTCGCTGACAGCCTGCATGTTTCTCCTTCCTCTGATTCCAAGTGTAGCGTCGAAGCGTCGCTGCAAAGCAATCCGTAATTTGACCCCATATAATCGAAGACTAATGGACTGTCGTCACCCCCATTAAGATGGCAGTTAATTCGCGATTAGAGCGCGCGGTGTCCGCCAGAGGTCAATCTATCCCGTGTGAAACCGGAGAAGTGGCGGCAGCGTGCGCTTGTTGTAGCCATTCCACCGTGCGCATCACCTAACCCCCTCCCCGCTCCCGCCTTCGTGGGCGTGCGCGCGTGCGTGCGTGCACATTCCGAGCGCGCGGCGACTTCCCTCTCTCCTGTCCAAAAGACACCACCATCGGGAAAGTCACGGGTGCGCTTAGTCACCCACCGGTTTCCCTCCGCGTCGCCTCCGCCTCCTCCTTCGCCCAGGTCCCATCTATCGAGTGCGGCGGTCACGTGACCCTTTCCGCGTTGCCCTTCTGGCCGCTGGGAGAGTGGGTCGGGTGGCGCACCACGTGGCTACCCTCCTCACTCTGCGGAACACGTGTCTGTTGCTCGCATTATCGACTCCGGGATGAGCGTGTGGGCTGGGGGTGCGTGTGTGCGCGCTTGAGAGAGCGCGTTTCCATCCCACGGGTAATCGCGCCTCCTCTGAGAGAGACCTTTTTAAACTGCTAATTCAATTGGCTGAAGCGGTTTGGATTTGCTCGGTGTGCGTGTGTGTGTGCACTGTCGTTTCCTTCAGCGTATTTAGCCCCACAAAATACCGCAACGCCGTCATCCTCCCGGAAGCACAATTTCGTTGCGGAATTTTTGCCGGTGATCACAGAAGGACGCTCGATGTTTGCAGGTTCGAGTCCCGCCTGTGCTCCACAAATCGAGCGCCTACAGCTTGTGTAGCCGTGATATCCTGTCAGCGCGAATCTACACAGTGTGTGTTGCCAATGGATTCGGCGGAGTTGCATAGCCCCATTAAAAGTCACTCCCCACGTAAATGGCTAACCTGTTTATGCATCAGGACTTATCCTTTAATTGGGACGCGGCACATGATTTACTGGGTGTTGTCGTCGCAACCAAACGCCGTGACCATTCGTTTACACAGGGAGAACAGCCTCGTTGATTTGAAAGGCCTTCCGCAATGGTCGCGAATAGTCTGTTGAGGGTCCTAGCGTGTGGTCTAGAACCACGTCGGGGCCACTGAATTATCTCTAGTCCGATTACTTTCCCCTGATCCCCGCGATGAAGAAAAAGATCGACGAGGACGTGGAAACAACCGTTTACCTCAGAGCTCAACCGCGTCGGTGTCGTGTCGTGTCGTGTGTGGGGTTAGCGCGTGTGTATTTATACCTCGGATGTGTGAGTCATACAGCGCTGACATCGAGACCTAGGTGTGAGGATAATCCAAAATATTCGTGCGAATGAGGGGGAGTTGAGGATCCGCGCGGCTGGCGACATGCTGCGAAAAGGGGAACCCTGTGTCGGAGGTGGATCGATCGGATTAAGAGGTGTGAATAAACACGATTCACGACAAGCCCGATTCAAGCCGCGGACCTCGTGGAAGCACGACAAACCGACGCGGCAGCGACGACCGGCGGGCCTTCTAACCTCGGTTTCTCTCATGCATGCACACACACGCACACACATATTTGCTCCCACGTGTTGTTTGCCAATGCGCCAGCTCTTGTTGTCACGTGACCCGCTAATGATGCGTGCGTTTTTCTCACGGGAATGAGTGTTGTTTGCACGTTGCCAAGGCACTTCATAATCATGTGTTTAGTGTTATTTTAGGCGCTGTCTTGGCGACTGGGTGGGGGTGGAAGGAGCGAGCTGTTGTTTTCGCTCTTCGCTATTTTTTGCGCGCGTGTGTGTGTGTGATGGGAAAAAACGTGTCTTTTGGTGGACCGAACCCCGTTTAGTACTCTCCTAATTTCCGCCAATCAAGTCACACTGGGTGCTGTTTTTTCGTCAATTTTGGGGGTCGATTAGGAGAAGCAACTCCTTTTTATGCATGCACCTGTTTCAGGACAGTCGGGAAGTTCCTGTTGGTTCGTGTCTTCGCCGCCGCCGCCGTCACCACCACCACCACCACCACCGTCTTCCCCTTTAACAGAGGTTCTTTCGGTACTTCCGTGAACATAAACACACACACACATAGACACAAATGGACGAACGCTCTTCATCGTAAATAGACCTTAACTGCGTAAACAAATCGGGTGGTCTTGTCGAGAGTGGGGAAATGACGATAACTGCAGAAGAGGATATTTTGTGCCTGTGCGTCTTCAAAGCGGGTTGTCTCGGAAGCTGAAGAGAAGCAGGCTTTCGTGGTCTCCTGTCTTCGTTTCCCCCCTTCCTCACCCAAAACCTCTCTAACTTGTCCGATGAGGCGATTTGGCTTTGGAGGCTTGAGTTCCTCTAATCTCAACATTACAAAGTGTGTGATTTCCACTCGCCTTAAATTGCGCCATTCACTGTACTCCTACACAGACCAAGCTCTCGTTAATGACAAGCACCGACGTCGTGTTGCTGTGTTTGTGTGGAATTCGGCAGGAGTGGAGAAATTAGCCGATCACCACGCGTGTTGTCAGGACTTACGCGCGTGCCACTTCGGCGTCGTCCACGTGCCGCGTGATCATCGACCTTGTCGCACAATCGTCGACATTCGACCACGTAGCCTCCGCCAGGTCGACGTTGTCTGGGCGCCTCACAGACCAGACTGCCAATGCGAGGCATCGGAAAAGCCAGACCTGAGTGATGTAGGGAATGTGAATGGTTGATGCGACATCACCCCAGTGGTGGCGTTTTGCGGAGTCGGCCTCCAGATAGAACGAGAAGTTAATCGTCCGTGTGTAAGCAATCTAAAATGCCATTTAAAGAATCCACAGTTTTGACCACTTCAACCTCACCACCTTGAGGTTTCGCTCGCTCGCTCGCGCGCGTTCCTGTGTTGCAGTTTTTCCATCTATAAATGCGCAAATTTCAAATTCGCATAAATTAACCTGCCTCGTCGAATGATGGTGTCATATCGACTAAACTCTCTGGTGCGTCTTTCGCAGTAAGCTTGTCGAATGTAAGAGTTAAGCCTAGACACTGATTATGCATTCACTTCGCTCCTGCTGTGTGTGTGTATCAACGATTCAAGAAAAGCTGGGAGCAATGTATTTCCCGGAATTTTATCAAATCAACGTTGTTGTGTGATGATGGGTTATTTTCCCTTCTGTTACCTTCAGCTGAAATGAACTTTTTTGTTATTAACGATGTGTCGGGAGTAATTACTCCCAAAGTCACGCCTTGACTCCTTCAAGCACTTATCTCGGCTGATAATTAGAACTACTAACAGCCAAATGAAAGTTTTGGGATGGTGGCAGCCCCGTTCTCAGTGTTTGACATCGTTTGCACGCATCTTTTTGCAGCGCAACCAAACGAAGTAGGTGTTACCGTGCCTTTGTTGGCCTCACGGCAAATCTTCCAATCCCTCATCCTCGTATCAACTGTGATCGTGTCACTTCGACACAAGTCGCTATCAGCGTGTGCATTGGCATATTTCCTGACCCCCTGTTTCCCTCTGCCCTCTTAATCCAGAGTCTGAACGGTATGCAGATGGCGTTTATGGGTGAATTTTAATGATTGTTCGTCATTCACGTATCCTTGCATACGGACTGAAATTACCACATGTCATTGCGAATTCTGCCCCTACGACCCACTGTAGTCCTCCCCCCTAAACTAAACCCACATAGAGCCAAGGTCACGTGATGCGGGATGCGTAATAAATCAGGACTACCCCGTTGCGTCACTGAGGTCACGTGATGCGCAGTCGGTGGGCTGATTTTAATTGATCTTGGACTGGTCCACTGATAGCCGTCTACTGCACAGGGCTTAGATGCATAATGAGGCATCGGTTTTGTGGTCACCCACGACCCCCACACAATCGACCTGGGGACAAGTTCAACCCCCTTTAAAGGGGGGGTTGAGATTTTAACTCCAAATCTGTGACTTGGACGACCTGGAAAATAAATAAAGGGGTTGTGAACTAATCAGATGAGTGTGTTGTGAATCGTGTTTATTTAACCCCTTAATCCGGTCTCTCCGCCTCCTACAGAGGGTCACCCTTTCGCAGCATGTCGCTAGCCGCGCGAACCCTCAACTCCCCCTTCATTAGCACGTATATTTATCTTGGAGTATCCCCACACCTAGGTCTCGATGTTAGCGCATGTATGACCCACACATCCGAGGTATAAATACACACACGCAAACCCCACACACGACACAACGACACCAACGAGGTTGAGCTCTGAAGTAAACGGTTGTGTTCACGTCCCCTGCTATCTTTTTCCTCGTCACGGGTATGAGGTAAGCGTAATCGGGCCAGGGTTAATTCCGTGGCCCCGACGTGGTTCAAGACCACATGCTGGGGCCCACAACAAGTGCGTGCTCCTCGCAATTCCAATCATTGGCGAATGCTGAATGCTCCAGCAGTGTGCGCTCGAGAACCCGACCAAGTCGTGCATTTTCTTGCAGACTCAAGTTACCACGTGACGCTGTGTCGGGTGGGGAGCTGCGAGGGCAGCAGCTCGTGCACCAGTCGTCTGCAGGTCGGGCTGCAGGCGAGCCTCCACGTGCAGCAGTGGCGCATTTGCCTGATTGGCGAACCCTCGGCGGGCTGCCAGTTCATCGCCCAATGGCGCCTCGATACCATGGACTCGGCCTACACCATGGAGAGTTCCAGCGGCAGCGGCACCACCGCCTACGGCGTCGGTGGTTTCGATTCGGCGGGACAGCACTTGCTTGGATTCACTCCACCCGGTCAGACCGCGTCTGTTGCTCCCGGACCTAGTAGCGTTTCCGCCTCCTACCAGAACGATGATCGCTTCTTCCTGGAGGCCAATCGTAGTGCTGGAAAGGGTAAGGCGAACACTTTGTTTTCACCTCACTTGAAACCCCAAACGCCGGGGATTGATTTTAATACCCTCTAATTTTCAGGCCTCGCTGGGAACTACGTGTTCCAGGTAGATGGTCGCCGATTGGGCCAGCTGAGCCAATCGGTCGACGAGCTGATGCTGCGTCGTTTTCCCGCGCTCACAGCGCCTCCTGGCACACGTGTTCTTCTGCCAAGCGACGGCGAGGAGGCCATCTGCAAGTCTGCCGCCATTGACATCAGAGGCCAGCGTGGCTGCTCCAAGACCGCATTCGGCGCAGGCGGCTCGTCCTCTCTCTCACCCCCCGGGGCCACAGGAGAACTCTTCACTGGCTCCTCGTCACCCCACACGCCCCCTCTGCAGAATCCCGCCAGCGCGCCATTCGCCACCTCCAGTTTGCTCAGTCGTGGTGGCGATGAGATGCTCTTTGTCAATACCACTCACCAAAATCCACCGAATCAGCCCTCGTCGCGTTCGAAGAAGTCTTCCCACCGGCAGTTTTTCACTAGTGGAGGTAAGTTAACCGGCTGCGTAATTTTTGACCTCACCACAAATGCTTCCCTAACCAAGCCCCCAAAACCGTAAGTGACGAATCATTGATTTTTTTCTCCTTATTTGAAGTAGCTCAAACACTGGGACGCTCCGACGCCATTAAGATTCCATCTCGCCGTTTCACTACAGCGCTCTCCAAGGTGACTGGAGATAACGGAGGCGGCGGTTCCAGATGCCGATCCTCCTCAAAAGCCGGTTCTGCTGATGGCAGCGCTGAAGGTAGTTCCTCGGAGGCGTCGTTGACGAAACCCCCGGCTCACCAACAGCAGCTTTACTTTCCCTCGGTAATGGTTGGCGCCGGCATCATAACCTCCCTCACACCGGGTCCTCCGCCCTCTCGAACGGAGATATTCAGTGGGCCTGGCGCGGTCCCGTCGGTAGCTCCTCCGACTCGAGCGAAACCCAAGGTTGATCTTCCGCCGCCACCGCCACCACCACCCTTGTTGTCGCAGGCACCTCCGACGTCGCCTTCGGTCACCTGTGAGCGCTGTAGACGCCTGCGGCACCACCACAAGGTCCCTTCAACAGGCTCCTCCTCAATGGCCTACGAGGGTGGCGGTGAATGCGGCAACGGGGGCGGTGTGTTCGCCACCGACGAGGATGTCGAACAGCAGGTCTCGGATATTCGGCTAAATCGCCTTCTCCAGGCGGTCAGCGTCCGGTCCCCTACCCACGAACTCTGCCCACGGCGGACACACGACTTGTACGAGTTGTGTGAGTGCCCTCTTCCTCCTTCTCCTCCTCCTAGCGGATCTCCTTCCCCTACCCACGTGTCCGCTCTCCTTTTACTGCTTCGTTTTAATAAAAAACCACCTTGTGTTGTCCAGAACTGGTTGGCGGTCGCTCCTAGAATTTTCTCTCGCAGAAGAGTAATGTACTTTTCGTCAGGGTTGTAGGATCTTTAGACGCAGAACTCCCACATTTCAAGCCGTCAGTTAATCAAAGGCTAAACTAGTTAGGGTCTATTTGTAGTAAAAGTGGCCGAAGCCACCACGTGTTTAAGTAGATAACTTCGCGACCAGTGCCGATGTCAGAAATGTTAGGTTTAAAAAATTGGTCAGTCGCGGACGGCGCTATGCTATCTTCCAGGTCGGTGGCCATGTCGAGTTCGGTATCCTCATAAAAGCGGAAAAATCACTTGCAAAATCCACAAGGACTAGTTCTACCCATCTTCCGCACGTGCATTTTGAGGCAGTGTTGGTTAATTTCAAAATCGCAATTGGTCTAGTTCAACGTGGTGAGTGTACTATTCGCATTGATTGTTTCAGGCAAACACCTCTACCGAACAATCGGACCGACGTCGACAGCAGTGCATCGACAGGCGGACTCGAGGCAGCTGCGGCGATGTAGAACACCGGACATCGTGGCCTCGCGCCGCCGGGAACTGGCCAGGGAGCGAATTCTAGCTGCGTTGTGCGGTGGCGAGGGCAGCCTACTGGACCAGCTGCTTCAGCAAATCGTGCCACCGCCCGCTTCGCTCTCCTGCGTCTTCCTTCTCGCGTGCGCTCCGCCGGGCTGCACCACACCTACCGACGAGATGGACTATGAATGGTGCGTTTCGGTGGCATTAGTGGGTCGAGAAATCACGCCGACGTCGTCAGTTGATGCGGCTCCGGTTTGGTTCTACGACCGTCACTCCGCGTGAATGCCTTAGAAGGCAATGAAGACTTGAGACGACTCAAGGCTCAACTCCGTTGTGTGCTGTTGGGCCGATGTGTGCGCACAAGGTCGCGTAAATGTTCAGGTCACAGGCGGTCACGTGGGTTGTGTGCATGAGAACGGAGAGGGGAATTGAACGGACCTTGAACCGCATCGATTTTTTTAGTGCCGTCGGTTACGGCTGGCACCCAAAATGCACGTTTTGACTCGAAGTGTTGCACAATTACGCGTGGAATGCAAATATTACGCGCAACGTACACATTAGCACTCGCTAACGCCGTTGTGTTTGAAGGCATCAAGTAAATTTGTGCGGACGTTAATGGCTAAATGCTTTCACACGCTGCTCCCTTTGATTTAGCCGCTGTTTGGTACAAGTTTTTGGAAGGTGAAATCTTTGGTTCAACCGTACAAGCACGCACATCGATGTCGAGTAACATCGTTTCGTATACAGCGCCAACCAAACTCAGACGAGTAACAATCCTGAGTTGAAATCCCTTTGATCACGGCTCATTGTGTGAGTAAATTGAAAGTGCCGCGTAGCAAGAATCAGTGGATTAAAACAATGGAGCGGGAAGTGACCGTTCGGTGGTCAATTTGGCGCGTTTTTATTGGCCCTTTTTCGGGGTAGGTACCTCGTGCATCGAGCGAGCACCTGCTGTTCGCGCCGCTGCCTCTGGAGCGCACCGTTTGTGAGCGACCTCAATCTGCAGGACATTGTGTGCCACCAGAGACAACTCCTCCAGCTCAGGAGCGACGCAGACGTGCAACAGACGTCTGCTCTGCCGTCGGGTGCGATTCCGTGTCTCGTCACCTCCGGCCTCTTCGTGTGGCGTTTTGCCCCGACCCGCGCCTTCACCGGCACACCTCCGCATTTTGGCGCGATGGTGAGTCCTGGAAAAGCCTTCCGACTTATAAAATACCACTAGACGTTCTTGTAGTCTCTGTAGTTTGGGCGGCTGCTCTATTGGTTTTGAATTGGTGACCCAAAACTGAGCTCCAAACTCTTGTTGCGATTGCGTTGTCTTCATCCAGTAGAGCTTCCAATTGCGCATCTTCAAATCTTCGACGCTGCCATCCCAAACGCAGCTGGCAACTGGAATAAAAATCACCGCTTCCAAACCGTTTGCACCAACACTTACGCCTTTCATAAGACACAACGCCGGCACCAAGAACACTGCATTTTGGTTCCCATGCTTTAGAAGCACCTTTTGCCCTGTCGGAATTCGTATTAAATAAAGTCGCATGTGCCAAAATGAGACATATCGTGATCCGTTTTTAACGGTTACCTTGGTTTGATCATTACTTATGCGGAATTCGGTAAACCAATGGACAATTGATTTCCCATCCAATCATCTAACAGCATGAAGGTTGAGGAATAGGCCATTGTGACTCATAGTGCCAATTGAGCAAAAGTCACATTGCAAATCCCCAGTCAAGAAGTTTTGCAACCTCCCCTCCAAGTAATGAACTTGTGACGACTTTTGTAGCCCCAAAAGTGGTCCGAGTCGACATCCGGTGGCAGCCTCTCGCGTCCCTGGTCCGTGCTCTACCTGGGTCCGGACAGCGAGTGCGACGAGGTGCTGTCTCCCGTCTCTCCGCAGCCCCCGTCGTCCAGCGTCGCGTCGGCGCGCCCGGATTGCTGCTCCGTCTGCCGTTCTCCCCAACTGCAGCTCCACCAGCGCGCGCGGACCCAACAGCGTCAGCACCAGCAGCAGCGGCAACAGCACGTCTACGCAAACCTCATTCGGCACACCGGTGGCTTCAGCACGCTGCCAAGCATCAGCAGACGAGGTCTTCGTCACGACCCTCGTCTGCCGGCCAGCGAGAAGAAAGGCGTCGTCCGCGCTTCCGCTCGCGACTTTCCGGACGATCATGTCGGACGCCTCGTCTGCGCCTCTTCTTCCACGGTGAGCCCCGGTCTATTGACTTTGCTGAATTTGATCCCACAGGTTGAAACTGAGGTCCTGGCAAACCGTGGTCCGTAACTCACGAAAAGCACTTTTTCGCCCGATTTCCACATCGTTGTGGCTTTGAATCACATTCACCATTTAATCAAAACCCCCCATGAGGTCAATTTTAACGGCCACGACAAATTTCCAAGCCATTACCTCGCAATTATTAGCTTTGCGGTTTTCGATGCGTCTGATCGCGTGTAGTTCGTTGTGTTCACGTTGTAAGGCTCTGCTGGTCTTTAGTACGCCTGCATGTGTCACTATAGAAACTGCAGATATCCGAAGAAATCGACTTTTGCATAAACTAAGACTTGGATTGTACTTGCATCTTGAAGCTCCGAGCCATCCAAGAGACGTCCGTGGACCCTCATGGTGATTCATTCAAATGTAAAAACAGCCACAATTAGCATGTGAAGAAGCCAGAGTAGGTAGTGACACCACTATGCACAGAAAACCGTCCCTAGCTGTTTGGTGAGGGGCCTTGTAGCGAAGTCGTTTTCCCCGTTCCCTACGGTCGTTTGTCGTTCGTCTGCAGTCGCACTCCGCATCTCAAGCCTCCTCGCCCAGCTCACCGCAAAGCCACCAATCGTACTGCAACCTGCCGTATAGTCTGGGCCCTCCTGCTGTGCCTCCGAATCCGCTGAAGCAGTCCTTCAACGACGAACGACTGGGCACGGCGTACGCGAACCTGCCTCACCTCACGCCCTCGGTGTCGAATCCGTCGAATTGGCCGTCACCACAGAGCCGGTGGCGAGGGCCTGGAATGGCGTCGGGCAGGACTACTGGGCGTTCGTCGGCGTCGGACCACGTGCCTGATGAGATCCGCGAGCCGAAGCGCAACTACGCACTTGTCGACCTTCGACCGAGTCCCGCCAGCTCTGTAGTCGCTCCCGGCGACACCATCACGATCATATCCACTGCGGAGGACTCCGTCTCTGTGGACGGTGGTCGTGGCGATTCGAGCGCATCTACACTCCACACCAACACCTCCACCTCCTCCTCCACCATTGTGCCGGGCGGTGGAGGCGGGTGTTCGCGGGTCGAGTCCCAACGCCGTCGCACCTCCTCGCACTCCCTCACCGCCGTGCTGCCTGTCCCCACTCTCAACTACGTCCACATAATGACCTCCGCCTCTGTGGGGAAGAAGGATCCGTCGGTGTGGGACAGCGGAGCATCATCCTCCACCGCGTCGTCGACAACAAGCTCCTCGGAGAAGGAGCAGCATGCGCCGCCGCCAACGGGCGAGTCGCTCGCCTCAAGGGTCCCCTACGCACAGATAGACTTCGAGCGGATGCGCGCTCTCACCGCCATCAACGGCACCGACGTGTTCGCCTCGGTCGCAGCCTCCACCGCCGCCGCCGCCGCAGCGGGCAACTCGTCGCACAAGTGGGGCAAAGGCGCAATCTCCGGTTGCGCCGGTCTGCGCGCCCTGAATGCCCGCAAGAAATCCGACGGTGTGTAGCCGTGTTGTGGCGCAATGCAAGATCTCGCCTTTCTTTGTGCTCGCCTCACATCTACCTCCTCAAATTGCTTGTGATGAAGACTCCCTCGCGAGTGGCAATTGTGATTTTGTTTTTAAATGTAACATAAGAGAGTCTCCCGCCCTAACCTTCATTCCCACTTGACTCCATGCCACTTCTCTTACCACTAACTACGTCTTATTTATATGAATAAAATGCCTAGTATGCAGAAATGCTTCCGTGACGATGCTATCTGTTTAATTTGCTCTGTTTAGTTTGTTCTTGTGCATTTTTGTGGCCATTTCAGTGGCAAAGCGAAGTCTCAAGTTGACATTGTTTGTCGCTGTGTGAAAGTTACCTTTGCAGTTTCTTTGTTGAGGCGTGCATCTTAGTCGATGCCACACTACTAACAAGGCTGTGAGTAGGCATGCGATGCTGTGTGTATGTGTGGCCAAGAGAAATGGTGATTGACTGCCAGCGCGAGCGTTCACACAGCACTCCACAACTGTCAGATGTGTCTGGCTGTATCCGAGGTTCACTGAAGGAAGGCGAGCCGACCAAGCATTAGCCGTCACGTGATTTGGTTGGAAATGTCTGCCGAATGCACGCAAAACCAAGATTTATTCTTGGCAAAAAGCAGACATCGAGTGTGGCGAGGTGGTTATCTAGGGGTCTGCGTAAAATGGTGTTGAGAAAAGGGCTAAATTACCGCGAGAATGAGATTGGAGCATTGTGACGAGTGTGTAGAAGATCAACAAAACATCCTCGATTTCATGTAAATCTGGCGCGAACGTTTTCCTTCGGCAAAAGTACAAAATCATTATGCCGAACCCAAATATTGCCGTCAAAACGAAACGCAATTTGTCTGTTCCCAAACGCCACCTTCTTGGAGCAGGTTTTTGCGTAGAGGGTCTAGTCAACTTCCGTGAAAAGTTAGTTCTAGGATCACACAACTGGGTTTAACTGATGTCGAAGATTGTGAGGGAAATCGTGAGATTATGCCGGACTGCAAACATGGCAACCGAGCAGCAGGCACATTTCCGTCTTCTCCACGTTTTTTGGGAGAAAAAAAGTGGCTACTACCAAAGCAACGTACTTTAGTGGCGTTGCCTGGAAATGCCATCTGAAAAAGCCCCGTCCGACCTTCCTGCGTGTGTGTACTTTAACTGACACTCGCCGCCTGAGGAGTGCAGGCACCGGTCGTGTGCAAAGTAAGGGTGCGTTATGCCTGCCAGTGTCCAAACTTACGCACAAGTAATCGGTTTTCTTGAAGCCAGTAGCTCGAATGCTTGGCCGTCTTTCCTCACGCCTATTCACCATTCCGTGTTCTTTCGTAAGCCGGTCAAATTTTCGTAGGGTCGTGTTTGTTTAAATACAGAAAATGCGCGTTTTTGAAAACTGAGTTTTTGAGTCAAATTCAGGCTAGTTTTGCCCGATAGTCTTGATAAAAATGTAGTCTAATTTGCTTTCGAGGCAGCTGCTTAGGATTGAAGTTTCCCTATTTCATCAACACTATATCAGGCAACAGATTGCCATAGGAACTTGTCCGATTAAAAGGAGGTTTGTACTTACGCAGGTGGATTTGCTTTGTGAGGGGAATCACCCGTCAAGTAACCAAGGGACAGCCTGTAGCAATGCAGCAATCAAAAGACACCTTGCCGGGAATGCGGTCTTTTGGAGTAGCCAGCTGAAAGTTCTTCACCGACAGCTCCACACAACTTTGTCTGCAGGGCCCTGATGCGCGTCGTTGCATCTGAAAGTTGCGTCAATTCTGGTTGAGGCGGTGGTTGTGATGTTGCGCACAAATAGACGTCTTCGGTATGAAGAAAACCCCAGTATGCACGATTTTCGGACCGCTGGGCGGGTTATTCTCTGTTGCCATGTCGCGCTTTTGGCAAAAAACTCGATCCTGCGCGTTCCGAAGACTTTTTGCGCATGGATTTGCCACTTGCACTTGAAATACGTGGCGAAGAAATGGCGGGTAGTGGGAATTTCATTCTGAGACTACTTTGAAATGCAAAGTACACGTGAAGGTGAATTGATTCTTTAGTTTGGTTATCCTGGGACCGCCTTTAACTACAAGTGTCAAATTTAGTGCCTGCAGGGAGGCTACTCGTAGTGTTAACAGTAATTATTTGATACGCTTTGCTTCCTTCAGACACCCGACACATCAACAACAACAATAACAACAGTGATGGTTGCTAGGAGCGTTGTAAAAACATTTACTTGTTATCCTAAGCCGTAGATGGACATTGCGAATAAACAGGAACAAGGTTTAAAATTGGGACAAGCCGGGGTAGTGTCGCGCCCACTGGCTGTTCAACATTGGAAGTGACACCCAACGAGAGAATCTGAACAGCAAAACAACGCCACGGGGTGCAAAATCTGTCATGTTGTTTCTGTGTAACCCTTTGTTTTACTATACTGGTTTTGTCGGAACACCAATCAAACTTCGACTAGCAGCGACTGGTCATATTACTTGTGTACACGTATTATTTAACATTTGGTGTTTACTCTACTTGTTGTCGTAATATTTACTGTTTAGGATAACTGTCTTTGTTGTCATCGTCTTCGTTTCTGTTAGTGCTTGAGCTGCTGTTGTTGACACGGGAATCAGATAGTGTCAACTGCCCAGAATGACGCACATGTGAGGGTTGGTATGAAAATTGCGTACTAGAGATTTTTCACCCAAGTTTGAACCACATCATCGATGACGCACATGGCCAGATCAACACCATAGTCGAATTGGATCGAGTCACATTGCTATGCGAGTGAGTTTGAGAGAAGTTGATAAACCTATCAAGCACAAAGCAAAAATCACTTAGACAAACGATTCGAAAATCGCGACTTGCACACAAGACCAGTTGCAGTCTTTCCTTCTTCTAAACCAATCATTATTGTGAGCGAAAATACGTGCCGGTCACAATTGCGCTATTGGCAGACCGCTATGGAATTGTGTTCCGCTAAGTTAATGCTTTTCATCAGATTACCATTTTGATTGGTGAGTCATTTCACCAACAGGGATGATGATTTCATAAAATCGGGCACTGAATCGTGTTGTGTCGCCATTGGCAATAGAGTAGGAATTGCTTTGATGGCAAATCAATATTACTCCACGAACCACACAACGTGTATTGATTTTCTGTTTAGCAAACAACTCTCGAGATGCGCATTTAAAATCGACCTTGGCGTCCGCCAATTGGTAGCCTCACGCACGCCCACGCACGCACTAAGTTGTCGCATCATGCTTGGCACGCGTGCATAATCGCTTACTCACTCCGCTGTTGGCACGTGATTCCGACGTTTAAGTGGCTAAATGCAGCCAGATTGTCAATATTTAATTTCGCGTCGACATCGTCGCCTTAACGAGAGGTGGAGTATTATTCATTAAAGGTTGACTAAACTGCATTATGAGTGTTCCACGAACTGGATTACAATCCAAGACAGCATCTTGCAGGAGTCTTTTGCAGTTTTAACAGTAACTCATTCAGCAGAACTTGTGTAACATGACAATTTTAATTCAATCACACCATACAAATTAACGCAAATCAAGTCTGTTTGAAGGTTACCATTACTCACGACACATTTAAACAACTGTTAGATTATGATGTTATTGTAAAAGAACTATCAACACCGTTAAAAGTGTTACCTCCTGTCACGAATTTTCGCGACCACTGGACAATTGTAGCAGTTTTTGCATGCCAACATGTTTTGTCAGAAATTTCTTCACAGCAACACCACAACCTGTTGCATTTGATGCGTTTCGTAAGGGAACGAACAGCACTCTTAAGTCAATGTAGCTTGGCAGATGAAAAAATTCACCTGAAATGAGACTTCTACTCTACATTTCACACCGAGCCTCATGGTCTGTGCTCGATTAAAATTTTTGGTAAAATTACGGCTACTTAAATAGCAAACAGTAGCAACTCGTGGTTATTCTTCGTTGAATTTTTTGAGTTAACTTCACCGAGTTTCGAAGGCACGCGTTTTTATAAAAAAGTAAATAATACCACAAGAAGAACAAGCATCTTAACCAAATAAATCAGGTTTTTGTCATTTGATCAAGACCTCGACAAAAGGCATGGGGCGTATTATGGACCGTTAGCAAGAAGAGAGAAAGCACTAATGGTAGGGCAGATCAACGAAAATTACTATGAAGTCTCGGGTTCTTTCGTTTTGCAAGTTCAAAGTAATCACAGTTGCATAATCCAAAAAAACCGGAAAAAGTTGTGACAATTTTCTAGGGTTCTACATCTTCACTCAACGCGTCCCAACGTTGCCAGTCGTAAATTTTGTGCAGAGTCTGCGGACGGAGGTACACAGCTCGATTGATACTTCGAGTTCTGTTTTGAATGCGCAACCAGTGCTTGGAGATGGCTTCCTTGTTCTTCTCAAACGCACTATCGGCAGCGCGAGTGCCAAGCATCTCCATGCTAACGAAACGCACAAATCCGCTTGGCTTTTTTGCGAAATAGCGGTGGTGCAATCCTCTGGGTTGTTTGTCCATAACCTAAAAAATAAAGGCTGCTTAAAGAATTTCAGTAGATTGCAGATACTGATCCGAAATGGGTCTGCGCACCATCAATGTCCAATTACCGTGGCACCGTTCGCCTGTGTGAATGAGGCTCTTCCAGGACATGTGACTGATGCCGCTGAAACGATCGCGATGACGTGGCGCCAGAAGATTGGCTACCTGCCCGCTGGGGGAGATGAGCCAGACGTCTAGCGAACCGCGGCGTTCGTGCGCCCAATGCATCTCCACACGAACCAACTCCAGGACCTCAACTGGACAGTCGGACTGTGAGAAAGTGAATGTGAAGGCGGTCGCCTTGCCAGGGAAGATGAGTTTTTCACTGTTGAGGAAAGTGTGTCAACATTAATACCCACGAACCACTCATGCGAATCTATTGGACTAGACACCACGTGAACCTGCTGGTCTACTAGCCAAAATCAACTGCATTAATCTTCGACCACCTTTATCTAATCAATCGATTAATTTAACGAAGAGCGCGTATTTCGGATCAATTAGAAAGGCACTGAAGCGTACAAGGTGTATTTCTTGAAGAGTTTCGACATTTTCTGGTATTGATGTCTTCCTCTCTGCCACATTTCACCACGACTCTGAAGACAGGAGAATCGTTGTCCGAGTGGATTCCAATTCTTTGCCAAATTCACCATTCGAACTGCGTTCAAAAGACCCGCTCCATAGGTGTGACTCACCTGAAACAATAATTACGTGAAATGTCGATTAAAACAACGCCGTGTACAGTGTGTTAATTAAACAACGGGCTAAGTCAATTACACTTTCCAAAAATTTCATCCGATTAGAGTGTACTTTATGTGAACATTCGCAGTTACTAAAGTTATTTGTTCGATCACAGGTAACAATTGGTAAATTAGGGTTGAGCGTGTCTTGTGACCATTCGTCGGGGTCTGATTGGTTAGCCTGTTTTAATTCTGGCATGTGTACTACGCACGACAAATTTGTTGAATTGGAAATGAGTGCTAATCCTGTAGACCAAACTCCAAACGACTTAATTGGAAAATGACAAAATTAATGTTTTTATATTGTGATTTGTTGGGTAGCCAAGCACCTCCCAAGAGATCAAAAGTTAGATCATTGACCTCGATTTCAATCAATATCCGCTGCGTGGTTAGGAGCCTAACTGTCAAAGTTGTGTTATTGGCTCCACGACTGTTGTGTTGCTCCATTGTGATTTGTCAGAAAACCTGAGACTACAATAAGCCACACAGAAGTAATCGGAAGCAAACCGGTGGAGATTATTCAAGCGAGGTGATGGGTTAAATGGCTATGGGCCTAGACATCTTAGACTAGAATTTGACTCTCAGAGGTGTGGCGCCGAGAAAATTGCTGTTGGTGTCACATATGGCTAAATTGAGGCCGCATTACCACTCCAAAACATTGCAACAGCGCCCAATCAGAAATCGACCTTGAGTGCTTGTGCCCTGGGCCATTCAGCGTCAAGTGGTGCAATTGAAACGGTGTGCGAGGGTACGCATAGGGTGGTCCGTCATTGGTGCTACAACAACGCTCTGCTTTAATATCAAGCAACCAAACTTGCGTATTTCCGCACTGAGAACTGAAGAGTGTCAAGCGTGTTGATCGAGTGCACTTTAGAGGTCATTAAAGGCAGGAATTTAAAAGTACACAAGAGAAAGGGGGCCTCTTTTGGTATGATTGAGCAAATTTAAACGTACCAACATCCCGCCTCCGTTGATGTTGAAATCTGTCGCCGCAGCTACTGGAATACGACCACTGAACGAGAGAATGGCGGCTACATCCCTTGCGGTGAGATTTGGACTGCGACACAAATAAGCGCAAGTTTTTTAAATTTTGTAAAAGGCATGCTACTAATTTAACACAAGCGACTTTACATCTCCACAGATTCGATTATAACTCTTGGCAGATGATCCGAACAACTGAAAACGATTGCCACGTTACCATTGTCACTCAAAGATGTCAGGACCAATTAACCCGCTCAGATTATACAAAACCAGAGTAAATTTTCTCGGTTTTGAGTTCCAGCGCTGATTTGAGTAAAGACAACAGTGTAGCTACTCACAAACTGGCACTATACTGACCACTCATGTCCAGCACGGATGCCTATAGATCGATTTCCTATTGGTTGGCCATCTTGAATTCTTTGCTTTCACGAAAGGAACACCGAAAACTAGTGAATCGGAAACCCGCCACAGTGTGCACTTTAGTTATTGATTTTAACCTTTCTTCGATTGTTTTTTTCACTTTAAATAGTCAAAGCAGCTCAGATTAAATGTGAATATTGAATTAAACTAATTCCTTTTGAAGGTCACACCTCAGGGTTAAAACAGGCTGGGAATAGCACCGCAGCATCCTCTCTCTCACCTACTCACGCTCACACACAACCCGTGTTGAAAGCTTTAGTGCAATTCACGCGCAGTCGTGATTGGTGCAATCGATTTGAGTTGGATAATTTATTCCGTTTGTGGTGAGTTTGCTTTCATAGCTCGTTTCCATGTCTACCGCCACAAATTTAAAAGTTCATGAACACTCATCAACACAGATTATAATGAATCACCAGAAAGTTGGGGCCAGAACCAAATCGATTTGCCTTCTAGAAGACTTCAGAAGGGCTAATTTTGAAACACTTACTTAACTTCCATGGCAAGGGCGATAACGCCGCCGACCATCGGATTGGAGGCCGAGGTTCCAACAAACTGTTTTGTGCAGCGATTGTTGATATCCGTGGTTGACTAAAATGTGCGGATTAATTAGTCCATCACTGAGGGTACGTTTTCACTGTCCGCCATTGGCTGTAGGTCGCACAGTCAAGAAGCACCAATACGGCAGCAGCCAATGAAATTGTTCCAATCGTCAACATGACTCGATGCAACACAAACTCACTAAACATTGCATGTTTTAAAGAAATTATTGCAGCTTCTGGAGGCACTTTAGCGCAGCTCCAGGCCACGTGAAATGCGATTTCAAGGGGCTGAAGTTGGGAAATTTGACAACAAGCTAAAAAGTCTGAAAATATGCTGCAAATATTTCAGGTTAACAGATCTTGTGACGCATTGAGCGACCCTATTAACATGCAAATTCTAATCACGTGTTTAGTTTGCTGGGGTTTATCCATGAAGTGTGTGATGTAATTTTTACGGATTTTTTTTTCAAATAAAAAATGGAGAACAAGGAACTAGATCTTGGAAATGTTGTCCATCGTTTTCCATGACCTTATGCCATCTCTTTTGTAAAAAAAATACACTTTTCATCATCCCTTTTTGCTGCCGACTGGCGAGCAGTGAGGGGCATTTGCGCATAGGTTGACCTGGATTGTTTTCTGGCAACATTTTTGGGATCAAACTATCAAGATTTTGAATTTTTCCCAACTGATGCAAATGCTTGGAAGTAGCTGCTTGGGGGACTTCCATCTGAGCTGGAGGCTCTTGTTGTGTTTGTGTTGAGTCTTTATCCATCAGAGCTGCCGATTCCGCATCTTCAAACCATCGAGGCTGTCCGTGGCGTGGCTGATCACTAGGATTGAGCTTACCACTTCTAAAACGCTTGTACCAATAATTACACGTATCATAGAACACAGCGTTGGCACCAAAAAAAACACCTCAAGTTGACTGCCGTGTTTCAGAAACATTCGTATGAAATGCAGTGCCATTGGATGTGCTGTCTACCAATTACCATCATATACTCTGCTATTGTGAGAGGTGATGTTACTCACGCAGACTTGTCATTCGGTATTCCAAAACCCTGCGTCAGATCCTTTCAAAAAAACAACAGACCGCAAAGGTAATCTGTTGTTAAATATAAGTTTAGACTTGAAGAAAAAATCTGTACAAATTCAGTCATACGCCAGGGTGACAGCCGCAAACTACCTTTCAAGAAATCGAACGAAAGAGACCACATGGTGTTCTCTGCTCAATTGTTTCAAAAAAACTAAGCATCTAAGCCTTCAGGGGACATCGCTGGTGTGAGCGGAGGCTCCGATGGGAACAAATGCATGGCAGTTTATGGAACTGGCGTGGCAGGAGTGAATACTTACCACAAAAAAATGTCGACGGGAGATCTGGTGGCGGAAGGTGACCTTGTCGGGTGCCCCGCCAATCGGCACAGCGATTGAGACAGCGGCACAGCGCTCCGCATAGGCCGGTGCCAGTCCGTTCTCGCCAATGGCGTTCACCGACACCACGTGGACGTTGTTGACGAAGCCGTCGGCGCCACAGTTGTCGTCCACTTCACCGCCGTTGCCAGCGGGAAAGAGAAACACCGAGCCACGGCCGTGGTTGCCCTGCAAGGACACCACGGGAACTCCTTAATCTGGAGCATTTTGCGAGAATGTGGAGAAACGGAGGCTTGCTCAGTGCTTGGGCAGTGCCACCGACATTACCCCACAAGCTGTTGCGTGTGTGTGTGTGCGCGCACGCCAAGAAATGGAGTTTCGTCGTTCAGAGTTCGAAAGCAGTAGTCACTCTCACCTCAGGGTCACACATCACAACAGAGGCTGTTTGCGAGCGCGTTTGTGAATGAGCAGGTAGGTGTGCTCTCACACACACACTCACACATGGTAGCATTTCCTACAATGACTGCACTCTCAAGGGCGCTGGCATCCGAGCAAGATCAGCTGCCTTTTCCTAACTCTCACTTTGTGCCTTGAAAAAAAAACTACTCAGTTGTTTGACGCATCTCTGACGCTTCAATCTACCCGGTTCATGGTGTCACAATGCACTAAGAGGTGACGAGTGGCCAGTTAAAAGAGAGCGCGTTTAGGCAAAGTCGCGGTTTGAACAAAGCACCACCTTGTGTGCTGTCCTGTTGAGCGCGAAGTTCATGTACTTCTTCGGCGAGCGCATAACTCGTCCGTTGTCGCTGGGTCCCCACGACGAGATGTACATGTTGGCCTCCTTCGAGAAACGAACCAGCGCCTCACCCACCATGAAGTCGGTCACCTTATCGCCCAACAATCGAACACCTAAGGAAAAACACGGAGACTGTGGGAGTCTGAGCGTAGACGGACAACTCACTCGGGTTTCGATGACTACAAAACGTAGTCAATGTCGGTTACTCCAGTCGAGTGATTTACGTGAGATGTACTTTTACTTAGGGGAGGCGAATTTGTGAGCTGAAGAGCCTAACTGCGTAGTATTGTTGAGCAAATATTTAACCCCAAAAAAGATGTCATTAAGGCGTAGAACGAACGCTGGGGGGTGTTTGTGTGCTATGATTGTAGACAAGGCCGGTGTGAAAGTGTGAAAACCCCTGGCAGGCTAATTCGATTAGTAAACCGTTAACAATGGAAGTTGTTGCATACAGTTACAACTCTGATGCAGTTTGTAAGACCAGAGTGAATCTTTTGGATCAATTTATAGGTACTGATTTACGTAACAACCCACGTTTTGCGTTGACGATGCTCACAGCGGTGCACTGCGTTTGTGGATTTAACGACCTTTCATTTAAACAAAGCTTTTGTGTGGTAAGTAGGGCGTCTTTTGTCGGTGACATCACATCAAATCCCTTGAATGTTCTACCACAGGTTTTATAAATTTCAGTAAACTGCTCCGGACGTAATCAACGCCTTGTTTGTTGTGAATTGAATTCATATCGACCATGAGTAAGAATGAAAAAAAACAAATCCAGGGAAATGCTCTAACTCTATTTTTCTCTCCACCAAGCTTATTTTACCATTTAATTAGAATATTCCAGACGTGTTGGAATTGAACAGAACGAGGCAAGTCCGATTTTGAAAGGTTTGAACTGACAAATTGATTTAACAGGCACAAAGTAAAACAAGCGTTGCTCAATTACGGCAATCATTCCTCCTTCCATCAACATCTCTTACTTTTACGACATGACACTTGTCCGCTGTTTTCTACTTTTACAATCATCTTCAACCAAATTCACCTTGAAATCCTAATCGTACGCATGATCTTTCAAAAATAACAAAATTACAGAAATGTGAGTTGTTTTACATGATTTTGAGGCATCAATGGATGCGGTATATTGCGATGAAAAAGTAGACTATAAGGTACCCAAAAAAGCTGTTAGAAGTGAAATTAACGTGATGTATGTTTTCTTACCACCAAGCGTAGTGTTGTAGGCCACGCCAAAGGCACACTTGGAGTTATTAGCCACGGCAGCAAGGAGTCCCGCAACTTCTGTTCCATGACTAAAATTAAGTAAATATGACGGTCTCAGGTGGTTCTGCTTAAAACTACCTCGCGATGCTAAGCCCTCTTAAAAATTTACGAGTGAATTCCTGAATGTGGATCTAAAGATCTTGTCTGTTTATGGTTGGTTGTTCAATTAAGAGCAAATCTTGACTGAAACGTGAGCTGTCCTCGAAGACTGCATGACAAAAAAGGAAGAAAATAGAAAGTGGAGTTTCTCATACTCATTCGACTTCTTCATTTGCATGTCAGTGCCTCTCGCGTCTTTACGAGTGTAGTTTAACAAATCGGCCGTCAAGTCCATTCTAATATTCGGGCGCAGATCTTCATGTGTAGTGTCGAGAGCATCGTCAACGACAATAGCAATGACGCCTTTACCGGTTATATTGGCAGCATAAACAGGATAGACGTTTACGTCCAAGCCAGGAGAAGCACTAAATCCTGTGGTGCCATCATTGAGCTAAAGTAATGTCGGTTTCAGGATAAGAATTTTGAAGTTACAAATTGCCACAGTCCGCGTGCATTCGGGTCGTTAAAGTTTAATAGACGCCGGAGGTGTGCTGACCGATTTTTTACTGCAAGCGCATATTCATCGTCACTCTATAACCGAAAGAAATTCGTGTCAATAGCTGCACGCGTATATTTTTAAGTGTATTTAGTTTAAAAAAACGCGCCTCAAGTTCCACAAATCTGTCTTCTGCTTGTAACTCGGTAAACACTGGTGCTTTCTTTTGAACATATATTGCGGATTGATACTCGACTGAAAAAATCTAAGATTTAACAAAAATAAATAAAGGATTAAACAAGAAAACGAACCCAATATTGCCACAAATAAGGTGACTTACCCCTGGAAGTTTCCGCAAATATTTAAGCCAATACAACAACTCCCCACGTGAAATATCTGATCGGAAGTAATGTACCGAGGAATTTAAACATGCCTAGTTGAAAAATGCAGAGTAAGTCCAAATATTCTGCAATTTAGGATAAGAAAGGCGTACTCTCTGTTTTTGGTTTCGAATAAGTCGTGTTGCGATGGAAAAAAAGAAAAGAGAACTTAGAATAGATGGCTTATTAACTAGTTACAACTATTGATGAAATAGGGCAAAATAAGATGTAAGTGAGCCTTTGGATCCCGGAAACTGCTTGCAAAAATGCACATGCATAAGGTTATACAGTAAGATCGTAAAGATTAAGACATCCAACAAATGTCCTTAAAAATCACTTGTAAATGTTTAGGTTGGCTCGTACAAATAGCGATTAGTGAAAATACTATTAATATTTTAGTTGAATGCAAACATTATAACAAGTACAAGCAAATCAAATTTTTTTCAAATTAAAAATGCAGTAAAGCATTTGGCTAGTCCATAGAAATGATTATTTTGAGACGATGGAAAGCCCGTCATATATTATTAGAAATTTTGCATCGTTGGCATACAGAAAGCATAACGTAAACCATTACAAACATGCAACAAGAAAAACGCTTCTAATTTAACAAGTATGCAAACCACGGGAAACAGAGAAACTCTTACATGAGAAGTGTGGCTGATATTTAAATTCTTCAATACTGCATGCAAATCTGCTGGACTCAGATCAGTGACGATGACAAAATGACTATTTGCTGATACCGAAAAAACAACAAATCCAAATAGCAAAAGCACTCGAAACATCTCAAGCGAATGCATCACTGGATAACTAATTAAATGCAGCAACCCGGCAAATTGACGTCCAATTGCCGCGTTTGTCCAAGGTTACGAAGAATGCAAATACACACAAGATCAATCACACTTGCAAAAAATGTTCTAATGAATATGACACACTTTTATCGTAAAAAACGTATCATGCCCTCAGTGCCTTAAAAAAATTACATATCAATTGTAATTTTTCAGTATTTTACTATGGTTTTAATTTTTTTAGGACAAGAGCAGCTGAATCTTTTAAGATTATGTTTGAACTTTTCCAGTGTTTGTGCCTGGATTATTTGCTATTGTTTGGCTTATAGACATCTGAATGCCTATGTAAATTTGTGTTTACGAATCAATTTGATCTCATATATTACCAGGTTTCGGCATGATCCAGCATTTGTTCATGTAATATTTGAATAAGGTTCCAAGAACTTGCTTACACTTTGCACGTGGCTTTGCTATTAAGTCTCAGAGTTTATGCGTATCCCAATATTTCCCCAATTTTCCATCGAGACATTTTACTTACCGCCTAATTTGTTATCCCCGAATCACATAATAAGTATATGAGCCGTTGCGGCATGATAAGACTGAAATAACGGAGAAGCAGCCTCATATTAAGTCGTGGGAAGAGATGTGCTTACATAGCTTTGTTTACCTTTAGTCTCTGAACGAACAGATTTGCCCCTTCACACTTGCAAACTGCATTCGCTCACGATTGGTGACTGTGCTTGCCTGCTGCTTCGCACAGCTCCCCTTATAAAATGTATTGGCAAATGGTTTCATTCAACAGGAATTTTGAAGGATAACTCGTAAGCATTGTGCAGTCGACTTGCGATGTCCTAAAATAGTTAGAAATCTGAAAATTAAAACTTGAGCATCGAGAACCAAAGTGAGGTGCTGTAAACAAGGCGAGATTTGAAAATCGAAGTGGATCGGGTCTGAGACAAACGATGATCAGGTTATGAGAACATGAAGAGGTCAGGCAGTGTAACGATCAGGCCAATAAACGCACCTACTTAAGCGTTTACTGGTAGTAGTTTCTCTTTGGGCTTGTTACTTGGCAGCATCTCCGCGTCGATGAATGCCGGTTTGATGTGATCGACAGATACGGAGTTTCTTTTCCATAACATTCAACGACGAAAACCTATTCTTCTTGTGTTAGTGTTCTAAAAAATCCATTGTAGGTGTGTTGAGGCGAACGACGAAAGGCATCGTGTCTGATGAAAACGTGAGTGCAAGAGGGCAGTGCTTTCGGGATGTCAAATGAAGTGAGTGATGAGCGAGGTTACTATGATATGAATTGCTCATTGCCTCCGTCAAATAATCAACATGAATGCTTCTGTCTGATCACAGTAATGGGGATGTAACCGTAAAAAATATTAATGTTGTTCCAAAAACCATTTCTGCTAAGGAACAAACCAGTTTTACTTTACAGCTGATCGAAGCCCAAGAAGCACGAGGGGCAACTCCTCCGGCTAACGACATGGGCCACAGTGAGCTGATAAAGCATCTTTCATTTGTCAGTAAAAACGTGCCACCATGAAATTTGATTGAGGGAGGTAGGCAGTTGTTCAAATAAGGTTCGTCCCCATAAGCCGCGTGGAATTTTTGAACAGTCATGAATCAATCTTATTTCCTTGATCTGTGGAGATTTTGGATTGGACTCCAAGTAAGGCAGCACATCTTTGGACGATTGTTCTTGCTACGGTTTTGGAAAAGATGTCTTGTATTCTAAAAACATCCTGCCGTCAGGTAAAATGGACAACACAAGACAAAAGGAAACAGAAACCTCGCGAGTGCTGTAGGGGTCGAACAATGTCAACTGTACAGGATCAAATCAAGCATCAGTAATTTTAGAGTGTCTAAAAAAGGCTAACTGCGTTTGCCTACCTTTAATTTTGACAGCTTGCGCAATTTCTTGTCAAAAGTGTCATACCGCAATTCATAGCAGATAAAACATATCGACTTGAAATCAGTATCCGTGTAGCCCGCTGACCAGGATGGGAAAGACCATGAAGGGCTTGGGACACTTGGCGTCGCATTGGCTTAGGTATGAAAGGACATAAAAGTAAAAATATCAGCTAGATTAAGATACATTATTCACACAGTGAATATTTCCCAACGTTCAAATTATGATCGAATTTTGCATGCTATGTTTGTCAGGATGGCTGAATAATATGAAAGTGAATTCCTGTAACTATAATTTCAACGTTGTATATTTGCAGAATATAAAAAGGTACACAGGAACCAGGCTTATTTCCTTTATTTATAAACACATATCGTCCACTAATTCCTTGGAAATGAATGCAAAATGAACAAAGTATTCAAGATAAACATGGTGGTTAATACCCCTGTAGTCTAAAAGTATCCGTTTGGCCTAGATCCTAATGGAACCGTAATGCCTAGAAGGTGGAAAATAGTGAATGCTTACATACGAACGTGGAATAGATTAGTAAAAAAAATTACTTATGTAATTAAGAAGCAACATTTCCAAATAAGCAGAAAATGAACACAAATTTTTAATTGATTTAGGTCACTCATTAGGATTGAACATGACCAAATAACTAATAAACCTTAATTGCTAATTAAAGTGAAAAAAGGTAAATATTCTACAAATCTACATAGAATAAAATTTATGAAGATTTATTTTTACAAACGCAAATCAACTCACCGGTGATATGGTCATGGCCCATAAGTTGTTACTTAAAAATATTAGGCAGTTTTTTGCTAGCTGCGTTGTTCAAAATCCAAAACCCTTATTTTTACACATTTCTGGCATGGTTAATCACTTTTATTCAGGGGCCTGTGATTTCAAGGTGTCAAATTTTTTTAGATCATTAAATGAGTGATTCAACATAAAGTTATGCAGTAATTGCTAATAAGATAAGGAAATTATTTTAATTTTGGTTTTAAAGGCAAAAATAATTGATATAGTCATAAGAACCCTTGAATTTGTTTTACCTAATCTTTTACTGCAGATGAAGGACGATCTTGATTCATTTTTATTCCCGAATGACTGATTCGGCGGGTATTTCTAGCGAGAGTTCAGATGATGAGTATATTCCGCCAGGTTGCCTGATATTTGTTTAATAACCATCTTTGCAGCTACTATTGACGAAAGCACTGATGATTCAGATGATGATGAATCCGGGTTTGTTTTGAAATCATTTTCGAATGATTTTTTAGTGAACTAGTCTTGAATGGCGGTGCCAAAAACGAAAATAAAGCTCTTGTAGAAATAGACAGGGATGAAATATGGGAGGACTTTCTCAAGGGTGGAAAATCAGATGTTAGTCTATTTTAATTCTAATGGGATGTTTTTTTCCAGAATCCAACAAATCTGGTTGACCCACTGAAAACGAAGTACGTAATTTGCTAGTGACTGTGATACGTTAATGTGTAAGAGGTGTTGTTGTAAAATCATCGTTGTGGTTCTTGAAAATATACGGATGGTCGGTATTTAAACGCTTAATTTTAGTTATCCGCATATTTCATATTGCGTTAATTCTAAGCTAATAAATTTTCTTATTAATTTGCAGAAGCAATCGTAATTGTCTCCTGCACGTAGGATCCACGTACATTGAGATGTTACCTTTTTAAACGAAAACTACTAGTCCGCACAAATATTCTTGTTTGAATTTTTTTTCTCTTATTTCATTATTAAAATTTTCGCTTTATGACATTTATAATGCTTCGCTTTTGAGTAGATTGTTATGTAGCATGGCATAAATACTTATTGTTCTTACTTTAGTGAGCCACTGACAAAAAGTCCTCCCCCAACAGTTCCCACACCCAAAAGTCCCCCAAAAAGGTAGTTTTTCGAATATCTGCGGTATTTGCCTGCGGTTTTTACACTCTTTTTAAATTAGTATTTTAGCTCAGCCTCCCCGTCCTTCCGCTACTAAGACCCATGGAACGGCTATAAAGTAAATTCTGCCATTTGTTTAAAGCCTCTCAGACGACCGTCGGCTGCTACAAGTGACCGATTGTCAGATGTCCTGAAAAAGCTGAAATCATCTACCTCCTCTACTGGTGTCCCAAAAATGTCTACTTTGGTACGTTCCTGCTTACGTTTGTTTGATTATTCAACAGAACTATGTGGTTCCTTCAACTCAACCTGGTGTTTCTGTCATTTAGGAAAAATCTAGATTGGATTGGGAGTCGTTCACTGAAAAAGAAGGCATTAAAGATGATTTAAAGTTGCATAACAAAGGGAAAAATGGGTGAGTCCAATCTGGTGTGGTTAACTGATCCTCTTCTGCTTCTATGTTCTGGTAGATGCACGTGTTGTTCAGGCGTGTTGCGCCATTTAGAGTGCATCACTGAGGTGTGCTAAACTAACCTTAACTTGCCTACAACATTTAAATTCACTGTCACCGGAACCTTTTCACTTAATCCGAATCGACTCGCAAGTTGCACAGGCTGGGAGATTGCGGATTGTCACGAATTCCTCGTGGATTTCTCGCAGTCTAAAATTTTGGCTGGAGAGAGGTCGCTTCAGCTCACCACGCCCAGGTCCTACTATTAATGTTTTCATGCCTTTATCAACGTTTTAAGCACCACCGAATAGTGAATAATCCTGCCTTCCGCCTAAGTGGTTCACAAATTGCAACTCATTTCTGGTCAATTAGACTCCTGTTTATTCATTTACTTGTAAATCAAGTCTCCACTTTTAGCCTCCACGTGGTGGATAAAAACGTTACTTTAGTGCTAAGGATGTGAAAACTAAACGAGATAATGCGTCTGTGGTGGTGAGATCTTCGCTAGCGTTGGCCTGGTTCACAACTTCGGTTTAACTGACAACTGGGATCACACATTGTACTAGTGCTTAGTTGATTAACCCAAAAAAATTGCTCTGGAAATGTCCACTTGTGGAAGTAACTTGTTTTCACTGCACAAATAGGTATGTCGAGCGGAAAGCATTTGAAGCACGCACCCAAGAACGGGAGTATCAAATGTTAAGAGAAGCGCGTCTGAAGAGCATTCAGCGGCGTTGAGTTCTTCGTTCGACATCCGTTTTATGTACAGAATCTGTACATTCTCACTATTCCTCCACCTAGGATCCTGTTTGTACCTTGCTTCAACTACAAGTGCAATCATGCCTGCCGACTTATATGTTGATTTCAACCGAATTAGTTTTTGCTAAATGGCAAAAGGGGCACCATTTTGAGGGGATCTCGGGGGTTACCTCGCTCAGCAGCAGACGCTAGAACACAGATAGAAACTTGCCATTTATTTTCCAACTCTGTGAAATGGACAAAAAGGGCACTAACCGAGAATGAAATGGAATACTAAAGGTCTAGATAAGTGAGTGCGTATAGCGTGGGCCTAGTCCGATTCAGCAGGTTCGAAAGTATAATTATCACGGCCGTTAAATGGATACTGTTTCGGAAGCTAAAAGAGAGGAAAAGGGATATAATAGATGCAGTAAACCACGGGTAGCGTAATTGATAAATTGAAAGAAATTTACCATTGGGGGGAAGAGCTTATACTGTTCACTGATATATAAAATAGGGCCCATTATCAGGACAGGAGCGAGAAACTTCAAAAATGTTAGCCACCTGAAAAACAACCCGAGATTAGGAGCGACTCATTGATCAGCGGTTCGAAAATAGTAAAACTTACGCTGGTTCGTTGTACCGAAGCCACTGCTGGTAATCGTCATGTCCGGTCGAGCTGTAAAATTCCCACTTCCACGGGATTGGCTCATTGTAATTTCGCTTCACATAACCATAATCGTAGTGCTCATAAGGATCTCGATGAAGCTCATTGAAATGCTCGAGGTTAGGATAGTCACCGGGTGCAGTTCCATCATCGTCGTAAGGTTTATAATCCTCGGGAAGGAGGCCATATCTTTTGGCGGCGGCCTCTCGCTGAGCGGGAGTGGTTGGGAATGGCTTCGGTTTCCAGTCAATGTGCCAACCTATAAGACGGGAACGTCAACCACGACACAGCTAGAATTCAATAAAAAGCTGCATTTCCATGATGACACATACCATTGATATCATCACTATCTGATTTATTTGCAAACAAAATAACCGGTGAACCATTGCAACTGGACAAAGTAGATACCAAAGCTTAAAACTAAGAGCAGATAAACTTATGAGAAACCAGAGCAAAATGTATATAAGGCTTGCATTAGGTGGGTACATTAAGGACAGATGAACAAATGCATACGATGTTAAAATAATAACTGACATGCGAAATTTTTTTGGGAAGTTAGGGGAAGCACGGCTCTAAGAAAATTCCCAGTCCGAGAGATTAACGCCATCCAGCTATACACACGGCTTATACCTTAGAGCCCTTTAACATGGCCCAGAAAAACAAAATAATTTTGGATTGAAATTATTGGACTATCACTAATAGTTAGCTAAAAATTATCAATTTTTCAGCCATAATCTTACTGTAAAAAAGACATTTTGCACTCAGACACTCCTTATAAGCAAATAGTTGACGCTGCAGTGATGAATGAAATTTGTCGTAAAACTTCAACAGCAATAATGGGAATAAATGTGTGGCTAATTTCCATTATATGAAGTGCCATAGGGATTCATAACATCAACGTCTTTAAAAATCATTCTGTGATTGTCATGGCAACATTCATTATTCTACTCATTATAGTGAGTCTTTCGAGCAATTGTCAGGTTGACTTTCAATTTTAAGTGTGGTTTCTGCATATTTTTGGATTACAGGAAATAAATCTAAATTTGAATATCGTAAATCGTAATGACACATAGGTGACCGTTCCGATATCTGCAGGGGTGTTTTAATTAGTGAATATGAAGAGAGCCATTCTGAAGACCTGTATACGTTATCGTGGTCGAAGTTATGTGTTTAAAGTCCACGTTAACAGAAAAATATTCCTAAGCTTGTAGACGTTTTTAAATTAAATTTTACACTTTAAAATTTGCATTCTAATGGTTTCAATAATGATTCAATCTTTAACTGACTTGAGATATTTCACTTGATGTTAACCGAATGTATCGTAATGAGATTAAAAGTTTATTTACTAGTTATGCTTGTATTTTATGTGTACGTAATAGTAGTAGTCCACAAAAACTGCCGCAAAGTTTTATAGTCAAATCGAACTTGTTCATATGAGCAGGATAAGTTTTTCAGACGTGTGTATTACCCGTTGATAATCCAAATTTAAATGAAGGTTTTTCTACTCTGAACCTATGGTGTACCAAAAGCATTTACGTTTCTATAATTTAAAGACATTCCATTAAGCAGAATGAAAGACTACTTTTGCTTTAAAACCTTTAGGCAATTTAGTTCAGCACTTTCTCTCCGGAAGTCACATAAATGCGATGTTCGATTCGATTTCCTTACCTTTTATTTACTTAACTAGGCTTGAATTTTCCAGCTTACTTAAAATTGTTGCAGTTAGTGCTGTCTTTCTTTTAAATTTACTTTAGGTTGGCTGACACTTCTTTACTCAACCGCACTAATATCATTTTCCCGAGCCTTTTAACAACTTGAATATAGTTGGCTTAAGCGGCATTGTGAATTTCTGACACATCTGTGCTTTGCGTGACCACTTTTGCATTTACGTTAGTCCTGATTCCTTAAACTTCCTAACCTGTTGCACTCATATTCAAAAATGTTCATGAAGTTGTGGGTGATAAATTGACGTTTTTCTTTTGTAAATTCTTTCTCCTTGCACCAACGCACGTTTAATTTCACAGAAAAATCAGCAAATCCAATTTTACAACGTCAATTCGTGAATTCTGAAAGTTATTTTATAAAGCTATATGCATTTTCTGCCTAAATATTACCACCATCAACAAACTAGTAAAATGTTTTATAAATAACGAAATAATTAATGCCAATTTACCTTTTCAGTGAATTTTCGATAGCATGTAGGCAGACGAAATAGACTACATCTATCTTAGCTTATAGATCTAACTTTTTGAATGGATATTCTTACAAATTCAACTGTTACTAGCATAGTTGCAGGAACTATTACATGTTATTTTAAAGAGGTTTTTAGTTTTGTTGCTAGTTTTTGTAACTCTGGCCTTCAACTATCGAACAAGTGGTACGCAATAACATCGCCTTTTGTATGCAAAAATGTTGGTGATTTAAAAACGGTCTTTTAATTTTGCAAATAACAATTCGTTATTAGCACAAATCATCCTCCTAGGAATGCCTAATAACAAGTGACAAACGTGTACAAAGGTTTCAAAAAGCGCAGTTGAGTTTAAATCGAATCTGGCTTGCACTTTCACCGAGAAAAATTGCGCATAACTATTAGAATACCTTAAGCCGAATGTGCAAAATGGATAATTTTACATGCGAAGAATACTGTTTCGTGGTGTTTGAAAAGTCGCATCTTAATAGTCTATGTCCATTATCTCTGTCGACAAAAATCTAGACGCCAGCTTGCTAACTCGCCCCTTCCACTAATATCTCTCTCTCTCTTCTATTGGTTGAACTAAAACAATTGAATAAAAGGCATGAGTGCAATCAACTGAGTTGAGGCTTTTCAGATATCTCTAATGCTTAGCCATCAAACCTGAGCAATCATATTGACAATCTAATTATTACTAAGCCCAGTGCCGACAGATGAACTAGGGTGACATTTGTACAGTTCCGCCTTCAAAACGGAGGCTTTCTCACGTTTTAGCAAGAAAACATGGCACTAGGGTTTGACTCATACCACCGCGGCCTACCGGTCCACCCGCACATCCTCCTACCAGAAGGTTGGGTTTACCTGCCAAGTGGCCAGAGCCGTTCCAAGACTGAAGACGCCTTCCTGGACCTTCTGGACGAGCAGTGTTTCAGTGCAGCCCTCCAGCACGCCATCAACAACCCCCCCGCCCCCCTCAGTGACTCCATTCGCCGACCTAGCGCAGTCTTTTGGCTCAACCTCGAGCTGAACCCCAGCCTCAAGAACGACGTCGTCGCTGTCGTTCTCCCCATAGTCGGCTGGAAGAAGACCAGCGTGGTCAGGGTGCCCGCCGGAGCTGACGGTGGGGCACCGTGCTACGTAGAGATGCACCACTGCATGCACTCGTGGCGCCTGACGCAATTGTTAAACTTGCGTGTCATCGTTGCCGTGCCCTGGCCCGATCTCATTCCTGACCACGGCCAAAGCAACCTGCCCAAAGGGGAAAGTTCATTCCTGGACTTGAGCAACTACTCAAAGCGGGGAATCGTAGTGAGTCTGCGCAATGACTTTGCCAGTTCTGTTGCTGCAGAGGTTCAACTAGTGTTGCGATGTGGCAGGTGATCTAGCCAGCACAAACACACACACACACATGTCCACAAGCTGACCCAATACGCACATATTTGAACATCGACCTAGGTTGTCTTTCTTTCGTTTTCTGCACTATTTAAGGTGACGGTGCTGCCCAACCTGTTTGAGGAAGCTACGCGCGACCTACTCATAACACTGCTCATTTCGACTTTGAAAGGATACAGACGAGGTATGAGGCCTGCTTCCAGGTCCATTCTTACCCTGTTTTCGATTGTGATGCATGTCAAAAATTACTTTGATCACGTTACTACTTCGAGTGAGAAATTTAGTTGATAGATACAAATAATTCCACGGTTTGACTAACAGAAACTGGCTTTTGCGGCACGATATAACATGAGGTACCCTAGAATGGACTGAGTCAGCAGAGAAACAGAGACAACCTTGTCGTGTTGTGTTTATTTATAGCTCAAATATTTGAAGCAGCATTAGTCATCGGTGTGGTCAAATTGAGACTTAGGTGAATGATAATCCAGAATGAACGCCAGCGCTAATCCTGTGTTAGTTGAGATTGCTCCATGGCTGACGCATGCTGTTAAATTGAGGCATTGTGTTGCGTAGAATGGAGCTGCCAGATTAATGTGTGTGAACCAACTTGATTCACAGCACCCGTAACAGCCACTTAAATTGTCAAGATTACCACAAGGTCGTCTTTTGATTGCCAGCGATGTTATCACTCAGCTCCATTAATGCGATTATCGTGACCTTGAAAAGACCTCAATTTTGGTCACTTGTGCACCAGCGTCATACTGTGACAACTATGACGTGCTAAGCGTTGCTGATGCTTTTTAGCTCTCAATCGGCCTCGTCAATTCCATCTACTGATGGGTTACCTATCAGGCACTTAAGTAGCATTTTTAAACACGTGATGAAATTCATGCACACACAAAATTTTCAACCACCCGAGCCCATCACTTTTCTGTGCCCAAACACCGAACGACCAAATTGGAGTCCTTCCAATGTCCAGCATGATCCCAAACTCCCTGCACCACCTAGATGTCTGTAAAAATGTGCTCTACTAGAACCTGTTGTGTGCGCTAGCATGTGGCCTTGAACCACGCCGGGGCCACGGAATTAACCCTGGTCCGATTACGCCTCCCTGATACCCGCGATGAAGAAAACAATCGGAGAGGACGTGGACACAACCGCTTACTTCAGAGCTCAGGCGCGTTGGTGTCGTGTCGTGTGTGGGTTTGCGTGTGTGTGTTTATACCTAGGATGTGTGAGTCATACACGCTTTAACATCGAGACCTAGGTGTGAAGAGAATCCAAGATAAATATTTGTGTGAATCAGGGCGAAGTTGAGGATCCGCGACATGCTGTGAAAAGGAGAACGCCGTGTCGGAGGTGGAGCGACCGGATTAGGGGGTGTGAATAAACACGATTCACAACGAACTCATGTGTTTTTGATTGGCTAACTCATAATTCGATAATCGTAAGCCCTTAATAATCTGACGCGCCCCTATTCCCATTAGGAGTGTTTGGAGAAAGAAATCTAGTTGTGTTTTTGCCGAGGAATACAGATGGAGATAACTTAGGCACTCTCAAAATTGCCTCTTCTACTAACCTTTCAAGTGTCTCTCTATAGGCAATCAGGGTGATTTCCAAACAAATTAGCTTTGACGTACACTGTACAATTAAGACAAATTTTTAGTTCCAATTTTAGCATGAATCGATCGATTAAGAGTGGAAATTTGGGGTGTTTGTAGAGAGTGGCCAACCCCTGGTGAGCATCCTTGCGCCGGACGTCGCAAGTCCCCCCCAGCCAGCCAATGAGCTACAGTTGGCCTCGCTGCAGTTGCACGTGCCCAAGCGCCGCCCCAACACGACAGGCGGTGCGCCGACCACGTTGACTGCGAGTCAGCAGTGGAAAACAGCCTCCCCACTGCCCTCAGTGACGGCCCCCCCAACCAGCCTCACTCTGGCCACCAATTTGGCCGAGTGCCCGTTGGTCGCCTCCTCTCAGTGGGTGATCAAGTCCCCCTCTGTCATGGGCAGGGTCCCTTGCGTGAAGTCACTTCGAGAGGTCGTGGTGGGATTCATCGGGTTGACCAATGATCTGACTAGGAACACAGCACTTCTCATTAGGAATGGTCTCTGTATGCGTGTCGTCTACCACCAAAGACATCCCCTGTAAAATCACGCGTCCCAATGCTGCCATTAACCACTGCTTCCGTAATTATAAGTAGAGATAATATTTTACTTTAGGTCATGCGTGGAGGGCATCGACTTTGTCGCTGACATGACCTCATTTTTACAGCAAAGCGATGTTGTCATCCTAATGGATGACTGCAGTGACAAACGCGCGACTCTGTCGAAAGCCATCAGGTCCCGATCCCCAGTAAAACACAAGTCTACTAAACGCTCGCGCTATTCCATCCAGGACAACGATTTCCGGCACTTCTCGGCCTCGAGCATTTTTATATCAACCTCAATGGGTAGGTGTGTCGTTTAGTCCCCCGCGGCTAACATTCCCTCTTCAGTTGAGAGCTTTAGTTTCTCCACCCTGCTGTCGGCTCTCCGCAACCAGACCCTGGCTGGCGCCGCCTTCGTCGTCCCACTGGACGGTAGTCTGGCAGCGGAGGACCTGGAGTCGCTGTGCCATCTGGGTAATGTGATTCCCGTGCTGCCACCGTCGATAGCGGGCTGTGCTCCGCGGTTCCTGCGTCGCCAGCTGGCCGCCCTAGTTCTCCAGAACCTGTCCGAGGGTCTCGGGTTTCCGCCGCTAGTGACGCCGGAGATATCGCCGCCGCAGCCGCCACCGTCGTCCGTGCTGAAGTCGCCAGTGGGCAAGCCGTTCCCGCCCACTAGAGACTCCGGAGCCAGACTGAATGGTCGCGTGCAGAACCTCGTGACGAACATCCTCGGTGCCATTAGAACCCAGGAGGGGAGGATCGGGGGCAGGGGGGTCACGGCATCCTTCACCAACTCGGAGGGCACCAGGACGATGTCGGTGAGGTGAATAATGCGAGGCAAACAACGGACCAATTATGAATGGGGGCCTACATTTCTTTCACTTTGATTGTAATAAATGGACGTATTTGTCATGCTTCAGCCAAAGTCTGCATCAGTAATTTAACAGTTGGAGTTGATGGGCAATTTGTGAGACGCTGGATTGATGCCTAAGTCTGGTTATTGTGGCCATCGCTTTCCTTTCCTTGCTCTGTCAACCACTCGCTAATGACGCCTTCTTGTTCAAACTTGATCCATTGAGCTTCATTTGTGGTTTCAACTCCACCTTTAGAGGGGACTCCATGGTAGACGTGCAAACGCCATTTCTTGACTCTCCTGCAGTGCTTCTGCCATCTTGGGTCATGGAATGAGTGCTCACCCTCGTGTTCGAATCAAGACTTGCACCCTCAGACTCGTTGTAGCTACTAAAGTAGGATCCTAATAATGTACCAGGACACGCTTACGCCATGTATCATTTTCGTGTGTGAGATATGCTCACCTGGAATGTTGTCACTGTCTTCGGGTTAAGTGCTCTGAAGTTCTGTGGAAACTCTCCTGGCTGAATTCCAATTTCTGAATGCTCCACACATACACATGCAAATATGCACGCACATATTCGCACGTACACATGCACTCATGCATGAACACAAAAAAGCACGCGCACATCGTCCACACAGCTATGCGGCACAATTCCACTACCTGGTCGGAGAATAACTAACACTGCTTTCACCATTTCCGGCTTCTATGGACCTTATTGGGTGTTTTTTTTGCCAGAGCACTTCAAACAGCTGCTAAAGTTGAGTCTGCAGTTGAGTCCAGTTAAATTGTTACGCGACTCAATCCGTTTGAGCGCCATTTAGGGGATTTGGGAATGACCGGAAAAGTGACAGTGCGCCTTTTCCCTGTTGCGTAGTGCTTCAGCGGGATTCGCCCTTCTTGAAAATCGAGGTCTTCAATTTTAAACTAAAAAGTACCCGAAATCCATCTCGAGGTAAACATTTAACAGTGGTCCCGCTGATCTTTCTGGCTGCTCCTGCATCCCTTCCCTCTTGAGACCTTGAGCAAAATTGGGCTGACAACTGTAGTTGGCACAAACCTCGTGATATTGGAATTTCCTGATTGTTTGTGTCATAGATATCAGTATTACCAATAGGGTTCGCAAGTATTCTGAGCAGTCAGTAAAGAACTCTGATATCTGATCACCGGACTTAACTTGATCTGGTTGGTGGCTCGACAAACTCGAAGCTAATATGCATTCCCAGATGGTCAAACGCAGCAACTGGCTACGTGGGTGGGAACATATGTCGGGAGATCAGGATAAATGCCAAGTTATTGTCGTCATTGGCGTTGACGCATTGTTCCAGCCTAAGGGAGTGATAGGAAAGCGTGATAAGAGGGGACTGGCTCATTTGTTGTTGATGTTGTTGTAAAATGTCACTGACTCTGGTTACTCATAACTAGTAACCAGGCCGCAGGTGAGGCTGGTTGGCAGTCAAATCTGCCATTTTCTCATCCCTCCTCTTGAACCATCTTGATATACACGTAAACTACTAGCTTGAGGGAAGGCCTTGGTGGTTCATGTTGTGAAGGCATTGTCCGTCATGAGCTTCTTGTGAATGATGAAACAGACGATGCACACCGTTTCATTTAAAATACGTCGACTCAACAAAGCGACAGAATCAAGGCCATGGTGCCCTGTTGCAATACAACAACGTCCACTCTCACACGCTGACAAGATGCAATCCAAACTTTGGATTGTGACGACCCCCTATATCCCCTCTGTGTTCTGAATTTTCAACCTTTCATTCAAAATCTTACGGCTTACGCGGGGTTTCGTTTAGTACTGATGTGGAATTCTTTCAAGAGTTGCAATCTAGAGATCTGTGTTGCAGTGATACGGACGACTTGGTGGACGTTGGGAAGAGGTCGCAACTAATGTTGAGGTCTTCACCGTGTGGTCTTGAACTACACCGGACCGCCGTGTTGAATTGGACCGATCACGCTGCAGGGATTAAGATGGCTGGAGATGGTAGAGGCACAGCCCTTTATTAGATAGTTCAATCTAGTTGTGTTCTGCTGTGGGCATATTTAAAGTGGTGTGCGACGAGTGAAGTTGTTCACCAGTATAATTTGGGTGAAGTAGTTGGCGTAGAAATGATTTAATGGCCAGGCGAGTGGTGGAAGGCGGTACATGTAAGGGGAGGGGGCAGTGCATCGGAGCCCGTGATGACAGAGTGGATGGACGTGACTCAATTGGAGTCACTTTGCTAACACTAGAGACTGCACAATCATCGAAATTACACGTTGTTTTTCAATAAAATGTCAAGTATCCTAGTACGTAATTAATAAATAAACTAAAACCGCAAACGACCTAGTCTTCACAGTGACTCTAATTAGGGTTAGGTGGTGCGTTAATGCTAAAAACTGCAAATTTTGCATGTGGAGGGTGCAGTGGAGATCCAGGCGTGGAGACATCAACCTCGCCTCACCGGAACTTGACGAGGTGCCTTCAGGTAGCGGGAACTCAGCCACTGGCCCCTCCCCGCCACCCCCTCTCCCTCACGCGCACATAATTACAGACAAGCTACGCTAAAGCGTCGCGTTTTTTGTGTTGCACAGGGCAACGAAATTCACCATTACCTAGTTCGTGCTTTTTTTCTCGTACAAATGCACAACCTCGCGTGGACAGCGCACGCGTGCGCACAGCGCTCTGACATGAAGTGACAAGCGGGCGGCCCACTGCTCCCACCGCGTGCTGCCCCTCACTTTTTGACAGTTTGGACGTGCGTTTGGGGTGGCGGCGGTGGCGGCGGCGCGAGAGGGTGGGGCTACGGGCAGTGCTATTGACGCGATGATTCTGGCCAAAACTGTTGCATTTGTCAAGCCATCTGACTACCTCGTGCGGGTGAGAGACTGCCAATTCAGGAGGCACTGGGGATTTGTGTTTCTTCGGGGGTTAGACTAAAAAAAACCAGAGCAGCAAGTGTGTTTAATTATGTACGACACAAGCGCCATGTCAACCAGTACGCGAGTTAAGTGGCAAAATGAGTCGTCGTTTTTTTTGTTTTAAACAGAACCGCTTGTCTGAAATATGAATTCGTTCAGTAACGTCAAAAAGGCAAGAGGTATGTTAAGATGGGTTCCATTAAGTTCTAAACTTTGGGGAAAAGCACAGGGTAGGCAGAACAATCGAAGGCTGAAGTACTGTAGACTATGTCCGCTGTCGAAGCTATTTCGACTTCACTGTAAAATGCTTTCTGAATTCAACCTCAGAGCTTGGGTCAAGACTTCGAGTAGAACAGCACATTTTACCCAAGACCCCCTACACGCCAACCACGGAGGTGGCCGAAGAGGGAACGTAGCCAGGACTCCACAGGAGCCATTCCACATTCTCGAATCCACACGGAGACACCAGATCGTGCTGAATTTACTAGTCGATAGAAACACAGGCCCTGATCAGATGTCGCTGTTAGACAGGTTATGCACATGAGGCCATAGATGTACATGGGGATGCGCACAGACGCGTCCTTGCTCATACGTAGCCACTGGGGTTGCTGGGGCGGAAGGTGGGTAGCCAAGGTGTCGATAGACGTGCTGGAAGTAAATTAACACGAATCGCAATCAGTTTGCTGCAAGTATAGAGTGGCTTAACATGGGGATCGGTTAGCGCGTAAACGGCACTCAACTAAGTTGCCTATTCGATTCACACGAGAGGTCGCAGATGGTCTCTACGATAGCCAGAAGGACAGAACTTCTACCTGCTGGGTGGTGTTCCTCTCATTCACTTTTCTCTAGTCAGGCAAATGCTGTTCAAGTTGGTATATTCCCACGGGCATAGTTCAAATAATCCTCGTGGCGGCCGCCAAGAGAGAGGAGACCAGGTATAACGCGTAGTTCAACAGATATGTTGATAATTTAATAGCGTAATTTCCCAGAGTCGAAAGTCGTCGTTTTATTTAGGATCAGTTAATATCGATTTCTGAACAAACATTGCTACGTGAAGTGCAGTCACGATGATCGACTGAACTGTGTTCGCTCGCTGATTGCTACATTTCAATGATGTATCAACTAAGTGTCTAAGGAAAAACCACAAATAAATTCCATATTTAGCAAAAAATGAGACCCTGGTTAGTCCCAAGTGCTTGTAAATTATACAATGACGGAGGCCTACGTTAAAAGTGATTGAATCCGGTGATTACCATGTCTGAAAATGATAGTTATTCTCAGACATGACATTGAGTGACTTGTCCGATCGTGTTGTCGGGCTGTTTATGTCACGGTGGTAAAACCACTGTTTTCAAACCGCCCACCGGCTTCGTTGCCATGCCAACTGCAGACAGAGATGATGACGATGGTTGTGCGTTCTCTTTTCTGTTGCTGCTGCTGCTGCTGTTGTGGATGCGTCCTCTCTCCTTCGTTCTGTCAGTGCATGGCGCTTGTCTGTGTGCAATATTGAACGCAAAAGGTAAATGTTTTAGTGGACAATATGCACGGAAAATATCCAATTTTAAATTCCCCGCTTATTACCGTTGTTTTGGTCTCAATTAAATGAAACTGTCCCATAAAGTTCATCTTCTCTTACCGGACACAGAGATTGGGGGAAGTGTGTGTGACTTCCCTTAGGCAACCAGCAGTAACTTAGTACCTTCAAATTCGGAAATACTGGCATTTTAAAGTGACAGGGAGACATTTGCAGCCAGCGTTCTGTGCTGATTGGCGTTGTGAGACCTTCGGCAGCGGTAATTTGACATTTTCTTTGCTTGAAACCAGCCAGTTTTCTTTGAGGTGCCTTCTACCCTTCACCAATTAACAGAAAACCTTTTACAACATGCCCTTTAAACGTTTTAAACGAGAAATAGCTATCCTCCAACTACTATAACATCGGGTTTTTGGGAAAAACTCCTTTATGCCGTCAAACTGTCAACTATTTTCTCTTGATCGATCAACGAGATTGGGTTGATAACGTTTATTCGAAGGTGATTGGACAAATTCGATGCAACGTGATTACAACCCAGATCACCCGATTGGTCAAGATGAGGTCAAAACAACCTAATGATGGTGGAAAAAAACAGACTAAGCAAAGACGCAGCCGACTATTCACTTGGTAGGTGCTGAAGTCAGAATCAGTGCTCACAAAACGAACAGCGCAGAACTTGAAGCTTGTAAGAGGACGTTCCAGGGCTGTGTCGATTTTCTAAAATGACTTGTTAGTCTTGTTTAGATGTGGAAAGTTTACCAGTTACATCGGCAGTTGTCAGACGCTCGGTCGAGTTGTCAGTCCTTGATTGATAAATTTGGTACAGAGACGTGGATTCAATTTCGAAAAAGGTATCATGACCCTTATGCAAATAGCTGGTGTTCTGATCGAACAAGGTGTCTACAAAAATCGTTCTTTTTTGTGGCGTTGTGTTCAAGTAGCCATCATGTGTAATGCGGATGACTGATGGTCAGTAGAGTGAGAGTTATGTCAACGAATGGAAACCACTACACGAGACGTTGCAGGCATATCAAATTATTGAACACGATGGCACTTAAGTCCTGGTTAATTAGAAACAAGTGATTAGGTAGGCAGGTAATGCATCACATCGAAACGATACAGTCATGAATAAACTCGGAATCAAAGAGGCTGATTTGAATTTTAGTTACTGGCCCGCTGAATGCCAAGATCTCGCCAAGGGAGAAAGAAGATGGAATTTCAAATGCATAAAGGTAACTTCTGAAAAACCAAAAAGCGAATTCAGACTCACAAGATTGGTAAAAAGGTGCAGTGACTCGCTAGTCTGTTTCTGCAAGAACAACAATTTTAATAAAGTTTAGCTTTGGCACGCGCTGATCAAATCGCCCTAACCCTCACCGGTGTTATATTTCCTTTAGCGGTTTTTCAAGTTGGGAAAAACTTAAACTATGCCCCATTTAGCCGCAAAAATCGCTTACATTTTAAGGGAAATTAAAGTCAGGTTTTGGTGTCAAGCAGGAAGTGGCACTTCAACGTTTTCTGACTAAAACTGTTCACATAAGGGAGTCATGAATGTGGGCGCGTGTGTGCAGCAACATGTGAAAATTAAAATTTGGGGCTACTATAGTATGAATCCGGCCTTTATTTTCACTCCTAAATTGGCACACCCATCAATATGTGATTACTAGAGTAACATACTAAAGTCGGAAGGGGTGATGAAACGACCACACGATATTTCCTCCAACATGCTGCACTCTTAGTGGTGGAACATTCCCGAGACAAAGGCATTAGCCGGTGAAGTTCACGGACATGAAGGTAGGTAAAACAAAATGTGATTGAATGGTTGGGAGTCTGTGCAATCCCTAAGAAAGGGAATCGAATTTCCACATTATCGTGATCTGAACGAAGGATAGCCCACTGTGATTCATAATTCTGTGTTACAATTTGGAGCTTGCTTGTGCCTGGGCAACAAAATGCCACGGGCACAAGTCTCTACGCTGACTGCTAGGTGCCCAACTGCTGAGGTGAAACTAGTCCGTTTCTGATGCCGAGAAGTCTGCTCCGAAACAGTATTAGTGTTTAGGAAAGTAAAGCTAAGTAGAACATTGAAAAGCTTAAACAGGAACGCGTGGGACCGGTAGTATTGTCGTGTTTGTTTAAAACTGAAATAGAGTAGGGGGTACAATTATAAAACAACAGTCAATCAACAAAATTCCTACGTTGGTCAGTAATGGCTTTAAATACGAAGGTCCGATGTCAGAATGAGGCAAAACAGCGCTCTAGAAGAAAGGGTTAGTTTAATCATTTTAAAGATTGACCAAATACTTCATTTGCCACGTGGTTTGAACGGTGGGGTCTTCACTAAAATTCGGAGCCCGATGAAGTTTAACAGCCAGCTTGTCTTTCAACTAGGAGAATGTCGTTCGAAGAAGTACCAATGATTGCGTGGAATGTTTACCAGTCCAATTACTACTACTCCTACTACTCCGAAATGGTGTCGCAGTAAATCGAAAAGACAATTTTTGAAAGCACAAATTT